AACTGATTAAGAAACTTGCTAGAGCCAGGTGAGTCAGTTGTAAGTGGATTTTCAAAGTTAAGGAATGAATCAAATGAGTGATGTTAAAGAGATATAAGGCAAGATTGGTCGCAAGGGGTTTTACTCAGAAATAAGGTATCAATTTTAATGATGTGTTCTATCATGTTGTAAAGCACAAGCCTATTTGAATGTTGCTTGCCATGATGGCACAGTTCAACCTAGAATTGGAACAAATGAATGTGAACATTGCTTTCTTGTATGGGGATATAGGTGAAACAATCATAATGAGGCAACTTGAAAGGTATGCAGAAATGTGAAAGAAATATTATATGTGCAAGCTGAACAAATCTTTATATGGACTGAAACTATCTCCTCGATAGTGGAAGAGGAGATTCAACAAGTTCATGACACACATAGGTTTCATTAAAAGCCAGTTCGACCATTGTGTTTACTTCATATTTTCACTTGGAAATTCATTTGTTATTTTTTTACTTTATGTGGATGATATTCTCATAGCAACCAACAATGTCGAGGATGTAATGAAAGTGAAAGCTGAACTCAATAAGAAGTTCAATATGAAGGATCTGGGTGCTGCATCTAAGATTCTTGGGATTGACATCCAGAGAGATAGAAAGCAGTCGAGATTTGCTTATCTCAAAAGGCATACCTGAAAAAGATTCTCGACAAGTTTGGTATGTCTAATTCAAATCTTATTCTAACTCCGACAAACCCTCAATTCAAGCTGAGTATAAATCAATATCTTAGTAATGAGGTCAAAAGAACTTATATGAATAACATGTCATATGCTAACATAGAAGGTTCTTTGATGTATGTTATGGTTTGTATTAGACCTGACATATCATATGCAGTAAGTCTTGTAAGCAGGTACATGGAAAATCCTAGAAAGGCTCACTAGCAAACATTAAATTAGATTCTAAGGTACGTAAATGAGTCTCTGAATAGAGTCCTAATTTATGGTGGAGCATGTGGTGAAAATAGCAAAGCAGAAACTGAAGGGTATGCCGACTCTTATTATGCAGGTTGTATGAATTCCAGAAAATCTATTTTTGGATATGTGTTCACTATGTTTGACACATTTATTAGTTGGAAAGTAACACTTCAGAAGGTTGTTGCCTTATCAACCACTGAAGCTGAATATATCACCCTCACTGAAGTTGTGAAATAAGCACTGTGGCTTGTAGGGTTTGCTAAGAAGCTGAAGCTTTTAAGGTCGAGTTATCACTGTTAAATGTGATAGTCAAAGTGTTATACACTTGTCAAAGAATTCAACCTATCATAAGCAAACCAAGCACATCGATGTGAGGCTGTATTTCGTCAGAGGGGTAATCGAGTGTGGAAAAGTCCAAGTGATGAAGGGTTTGACAGATCACAATGCTACTGATATGATCACCAAGAGATTAATAATGTTGCTGATAGATCCCTTGGGAGATTAAGAACACAAGGGAGAACTTAAGGTTTTCATGCGCAGACGTAATTGAAGATCAATGCATCCCTATTATCTTGTAATGTCTAGTTTTTACATTGTAATTTCTCTGATTATTACGAGTAGCTAAACCCCCCAATGATAGGGGGTGTCCCTGAATTGCTTATGTAATGATATTGTTCATGTTGTTTGAACAACATAAGTGCTTATTTTATTAATCAAGTTTTATCGTTCAATGTTCTTACTGCTTTTTCAATCGGACAAATTGATTTAGATTTACGTTTAACCTTAGGTCGGAAAAACCATCGTTAATGCAGTTCGATCAATAATGCTTCAGTAGATATTACCTAGAACTAGGACTACCCTGTTGCACTTGGAACACTGTTGACATTATTTGTAATGGTTGATTTCAAACTAATTGCCTATGGACATAGTAATTAGGTTATGCGATTAAGAGGTTTTCTCACTAAAGATTTAGGAGTAAACACATTTCCAGTTAAGAATTTGATAATTTGAGTTATGTCTTTGAAATAAGGATTGATATTGTTACAAGGCAATCCATACACTACCCCTAGTATGCTCTCATATCTGTCAGAACCCTATTCTATCTTTTGCCTTATTTTTATTATTGCAACTTTTAATTGTAAAAACAATTTCAAAACCCCTAATTGTTTTTGTTTGATTGAATTATCATAAAGCTTGTATTATCTAAGCAGCCCTCGAGATTGATACTGGGGATAAAATCTCTATTTTAACTATAATCGGCAAAATAATACACTTGCTATTTTATCGATCAATGGTCGAAGGGTAACATTTTGGTTTAACAATTATAAAGAATCTTAACATGTCGTCGAAGTATGTTCACATGCTGTAATCGAAGTATGCCAGGAGTGTTAACATGTCGAATTAGGCCTTGGTTGTAAGCCGAATTGTTTAAGTTAACTTGTTCCTTAAGTTAACTTGTGTAACGGGCCTGTGTGTAAAAGCCCATTAGGTTAGTATGTTAGTTTTCTTATAAATGACACGCTAGTCTTTCATCTTTGGGGTGTGGTGCAAATCCTAATTAGAGTGAGAGAGATTATTTGCTATTTTGTAACAGTTGTAATTTTGTTTTAAAGAGAAAATAAAGAATAACAGTTTATAACCAATTTCATTGTGTTCTTCTTGTTTCCCTCTTTTTCTTATCATTGTGGATTTCTTGTTGTCCAAGAAACCGATTATACTTTGTTATTCCGATATTGTTGTTCACAACATTCTTCTTAAAGTTTTCATATAGCTGTCTAAGACATACCTTATGCTCAATTATGTCAAACATTTTCTCAACCACGGGAATTAGTCCTTATATACAATAAATAATTGGCTTAAAATATCATTACATTTATATAAACAATAAAAAGAAAATGACATGAGTTTTTACCTTTTGTTGATCTGAAATAAAAACATATCCTCTATCTTGGCTAATGTCTTCAAGTAGTAATTGAAGAAACTATCTTCACAAATTTGTTGTTTTTGTTTCAACAACTACAAAAGCTAAATGGAAAGTATTGATCATTAGGGTCCCTTCATATTGCAACTAAAAGTTATCCCCCATGCTTTATTTTAAGGTGATAAGCATCCACCACAATAAAAAGGTCTACATGCCATTGAAAACGCTTTTTCACATCCATCAAAATAAAAGTAAAATTTTTCAAATTGATATTTGAGTGTAGGTTTTGGTTTCTCCACATTTATCTTATAAGTATTCCCAACACTAACTCTTTTGAGCTCAGCATCATAGCTCCATAACATAACATATTGTCTAGCCACATCTTCTTCAACTATTTGCTTTGTAATTTCTTTTGCCTTCCCAACTTTTCCTTTTGTAATACCAACTAAGCGGTTCATTCTCATGTCACTCATGATTTCAGCCACTCACTTTTTCAACTGAATGAAATTTCTCAACCATAACCTTAGCCACCCACTGCAAATTGCAGATTTGATATTTAACATCCTCGCACATGTATGGGTAACCACTTATTTATAAATGTGTATGTCACAAACTTTACTCACATGGACTAAAACACCACATTTGCTCTTACACTCCACTATAACCCTAACTTTATCAGTTTTCACAAACTTGATTTCTCTACCATTATAAACTGACCACTCTCTAATTGCATTTTTAAATTCAACTAATGCATTAAATTCCATGCCCCAATTTAAACTCATAATCATTAATCAACAACTATTTCCTAAATTTCTCATATTTATGCTCTATTTCCTTATCAACGTAATCTTGGTTTGAACTTTCTAAATCATCACTAACATACTCATCATCATTAAGTTGTTCGAAATCAGTTTTTCTTTTATAACTAACAATTTTTGTAGGAGCTAATTCACCTAATTTAATTCCAAAATTTTCCCAATCAGTTATGGTTCTCGAAGAAACTTCCAAGGCTTTTTTCACTTCCATAAAACCCTCATAAATTGCCTTTGTTCTCTCTTCTTCACTATCATCAAAATTTATTCCCTTAACCTCTTCATCACTATTGTAACCACTTTCTTCGTCACCAACTTCCTTTTGTACATTAATACATTAAAGTTTTGTAACCCTCTTTAAATGTCTATCACATTGTGCTCAGCATAAATGTGTCAATCAACTTTATTATCAAGAAAATGCATACCAATATCCATGACATGAATCCTCTATCAAAGACTTAAAATATTCAACAACTCTGTTAATTTTTTTCCATAACCTAAAATTTACTTCATTATAGTTATTCCTTCACCAAACTAACAACTTCACGAAAACTCCATTTAGCGTAGTATTGATTAGATATAATTGTTTTAACTTCTCCTCTTTAAAACAAGTGGTTATCTCTTACAAACTCCCCATCACGGTGAAATACAATATTGTATAAGCTCATTTTTGAAATAAATAATATGTCTGGTAAGACTTTTTGTACAAGATGAAGAGGGAACAAGATGATGAAATAGATAACAAACTTAAGAAGGATGAACTTGATAAAGATGAACCAGAAACAAATTCGACGATGTAACGGTTTACCACATTCGTAATGGAGGATAGTGCAAAACAAATTTTGTAAAAATTAGAGGATAAATAGATTAGGGCATACCAAAAATTGGTTACATTTGATTTGGATGATAAAGAAATTAGAGGATAAATAGATTAGGGCATACCAAAAATTGAAATCTAAAAATTAATATGTAAAAATAAATAAGATAGAAAAAAAGAGTGATGCAGTAACTATTGAGGGGGGACAAATTGGGAAATTCAGATTAGGTACAAATATAGCGAGACGCATGTTGGGCATCAATTAGTATCGGATGATCTATATTTTTAAGAAGGTTTTATCTTATAAAATTAAAAATATAATTTAAAATTTAAACCGTCATATTTTTATCCAGAAAATCAGACGTACCCAGGCATAGCACTATCGGCGCAGACAATTCTGATCGGTCTTAAAGATTTGTGGTGTGTTGAAAATAAAATACTAGTAATAGAGAAGAACGAAGGAAACTGAAATTTTGGTGATCGAATTTGAAGTGAAAGAAGATGAAGGTGCGTTCGGAAAGGGGAAAAACGAAAGTAGTTATTCGGCATTTGCCTCCCTCCCTCACTGAATCTGATCTCATCCAACACATCCATAGCCACTTCGCTTCTCGCTACCGCTGGTTTGCTTTCCGTCCCGGTAACACCAGGTACTTTTTCATCTCTCACTAAACCCTAACAATTCTCTTCCAATTTCAGTTCTAAATCTTACTGAAATTCATTCATATATGCAGTCACAGGAATCAAAGGTTTTCTAGAGCATATATAGACTTCAATTCTCCGGATGATGTTTTCGAGTTCGCTGAGTTCTTCAATGGACATGTTTTTGTTAACGAGAAAGGTTAATTTTACTGTTCTTCTCTCTTTGTTTTTTTTGTTTTTCTTCTGCGGTTGGATTTTTTTGAGCTTATCTAGTAGCATAAGATGTAAGATTGTTTGGAAGAGTTTATGGAAACAATTTATGACATTTCCATAGGTTGTTTTTGGCTTATTTCCATAAGCTCTCTAGGATAACTTATGAAAGCATCATAGGATTGTTTAGATTGGTTTATTTGAGGTTATCTACCGACATAACTTTTGTGAGATTGTATAGGCATTCTTCATAAGGTGTTTTCAACTTATTTTCATTAGTTCTGCAAGATAGCTTATAAAAAACAACTTATAGTTTGTGGTGTAAATAATTTAACTTTATTTTATCTTTTTGCTATAAAAATAGCTTACATGTGTTTATCATGATAAGCGTTTGTGCTATAAGCTGCAAATGAGTTGTTTATCCAAACAAGGCCTTATAGGTTATATGAAAACAATTTGACCTTGTTTTGTCTTTTGTTATAGAACTAGTTTATATATAAGCTCTTATTTGATAAGCGATTGTACTATTAGCTCTTAATTAACCTTTTTTTATTCAAATAAGACTTAATTGTGTAGACCAGAGTTATTATGTTTTCTACTTAAACCCTTGTTAAATGGGTTAGTGCTTATTGTATTTTGTTTTTTCTCTACAATGTTGAATGTTTTCGGGCTATGCAAAATATTAATGCTTGATACTCACCCAGGTGTCCAACATAAAGCATTGGTTGAGTATGCACCATCTCTGCGTGTTCCAAAGCTGAGCATCAAAAAGGATGGCCGTGAAGGGACTATATATAAAGGTATCAATGTAGTTGTAATTTTCGTGCCATCGAGATATACAAGTGTTCTAATGCTGCCTGTCTAGGTTAATGGTATGCACTCTACTTGTGTATGATTTTTTTTTTAATAAGGACAGATCCAGACTATCTCGAGTTCCTCAAATTCATTGCGAAGCCTCAGGAACATCTTCCTAGTGCAGAAATACAACTGGAAAGAAAGGAAGCTGAGCAAGCTGGTTAGTTATTTGTTCACCAGCTTTATTTGATTTACACTTATGAAAGCAGTCTAATCACTACTCTATAGTAAATGTGTTTTGAAGGATCCCAAAATAAGGTTTTAGGTTAAATGTATCTGTAGGCAAATTTCAGTACCATTTGTGTCTCATATTTTTCTCCTTTCTAGGGACTAGCAAGGAAGCACCTATTGTAACACCCCTGATGGAATATGTTCGTCAGAAACGTGCTGTTGACAGTGGTCCGCTGGTAAATGATTCCGGGTCTTTTGAGGATTTTTTGTTTTTCCTTTTCTCTCATGTTTATGTGCTCCAGGAACATTTAGTTCAGAGTGTAAAGGCTTTGTAGTATTCATCTCCTTTCTGTTTTGTTTGTTTTGAGTCAGCCATTAGAAGTATAGTGAATAAAATGTTATATTATTTTGCTTTGCACATGCTTGATTGTAGAAAATTTTTCATATTTCACGTCTTAAAATTTTTCATCTTCCTTAGGTGAGTTTTTATTTCAATCAACAGTCTTAAAAACTGAAGATTATAACTGTTATTTCTAAAACATTTAAGAAATATGTGGAGCACTCTTAACATTCCATTGACAGAAATGTTTGTAAAGAACTGCAAAAAAAAATTCTGCCCATTATAAAACGGTGTAGCAGCAAAAAAAAAATTGTGGATTGTGAATTTTCCCTCCTTATTCTTTTAATTCTAAAAGTTACTACTAACTGCTCTGAAGCTAGAACATATTTTATCTATGAGGGCAATATTGTAAGTTTGAATTTTTTTTCAAGGCAAATTGGTATTTTTCCCTTTTATTTGACTAATATAAAAGCTCATAGTTCTTCCACATTCTTCTCAACCTAAAAATCAGCAAGCGGTGGATCTTTCTCATCCATTCTTCCACATTGCTCTTCACCAATTCATCTTTTTCTTCACTTTCTCATTCATTCACATCTATTTCTACCCGCTTTTGCTGAATAGTCATCTATTTGATTTTGGGAGAAGAGGGTTTGACTTGGGAAGTTGTTGGTAATGCCGCTGGGCTAATGAACCAGCAAGAGTTACTAGATATAACTCCAGACTTGCTACATTAGTGACTAATGGAGATGAGGAGTTGGAGGTGGAAGAAGAAGAGTTTGAAATTGAATCAAATGATGAGCAAGATGATATTAATGTGGTGGAACTTAGAAGTGAAGATGAGACAGATGTGATTTAGTCATTTTGTTTACGTCTGTTTACGTTTAGAATTTGGTTTAGTCATTTTGAGCACATTATAAATTTGATTTTGATGGGAACTTATATTGTGGTGCTGGTGGAATTTATATAGTTGTTGCAACTTCTGTTTTTAAGGCATTATGTAGTTGGAACTTAGTTTAAATATTTATGTATTCATTTTAAGTATTTACCTTGGTTTTTAAAGCTCATAATAGTGGTCATCCCGCTATCCGCTATAGCATTTTGAGGGTCCGGCGCTACGCGCCGCTCTCCGAGATTAACAACCTAGCTCTACCCCTATCGGTGCAATATGATATGCCTATCCTATTCAGTACTATCAAGTAGCAGCCATGGCGGAGTGCACAGGTGGATTTTTTGCCAAACGCTATTAGGCAATTTGTGAAGGAGGGCAGTGCCACGGCGTTCTATGGCAGAAACCGCAACTTAATATAGCAGAATTCCTGCCTTCCTCTATGGTTCTCCATCTGCAATATAAATACTCAGATCTTAATCTTATTTTCATCATATAGCATAACTATTTGGAAGCATATTCATATTCATATGGGCATATGTAGTTGGTCCCCCACCCTCAGCCCCACCCCTGTTAGCTCTCTAGACTTTTAGCCTTCAATGGGTCTGGTGAATTTTGATTGTTTATAATGTGGAAAGTGCACTAAATTTTTTTGTTGATATGTATCATTCACTTATATTACTGTGCCTTCACATCATTATGGCTTTAATCTTCTCCTGTTGGGTGAAATTATTCTGGTATCATATATAAAATTTGTTAAATTACAAATAAATACAATTTAAGAGGGTCTCCTGCTTGGTATATGCTGACATGCAATACTCCACATCCTGTCTTAGGTTTCATCAGCAGCAACAAAAGTTGGCAGAAGAGCCAGAGCTGCTTTGCAAGGAAAGCCCAGCCCAGTTAATACCCGACGAGGATCTGAAAAGAAAAGGGTAAGCCATTATAATCAAGTGCATGTATAGTTGTATATATTTTTATACTGCTGGAGGTAATGTGTAATTACTAGACTCATCTTGAATGCCATAACTTGGTTGACATAAAAATTGCAACTTTTCTATTAATTTCTATTAATGCAATAAATGCAAGAGAAACCATGCTGTTATTGCCTCCTCCGTATCCTCATAATCTTAATTCTGTCTAGCATTTTAATATTCAATTAGTATTTATATACGAAGTGGCTGAGAAATAATATTTTGCCATCTTATTGTTGCTTGGAAGCCGAACTGTTTGTGAACTGTGAAATGGTTAGATATGTATACAAGCATACATGTAGTTTTATCAATTAGCTTTTATAGTAATTGTTCAATATTTTGTTACATGGATATAATTTCATACATAACTATTTACTCTGATGCTTTCACTACATTTATAGTTATCAATAGTGGAAAACAGTAAAACATCAATATGGATTATGATTGATTGGGCCAATCAAATCTCTATCCATGCTTAAATTTACTCGTATTTTTTTGAAGGAGTTTTTGGTCTGCTAGACCTATAGCATGCAGTGAGGCATTTTAGGTTTAGCAGCCTATGTTCTTCATTGCACAGGCTCATCAGTATAGAGAGACAGGGATTTCACAAGCTTCTGTCTTCCCAAGCAGAAAGTTCACATGGCCCACCCAAGATACAGCATATTCCAGTAGTCCACCTCCCAATCAGCAGCATGCAATCTATATTTGCTTTGTTTGCACTCTGTATTGGCATTTCTTAACAGCCAAACACATGTTTTGTCCAGCTTCTTGCTGGGTTTCAGCTTATCTTTCATCCTTTTCTAGCCAAACCGACATATTTCGCCACTGCCGGTATTTCTTTGTTATTTGCCTGCTACTTGGCCACTATCTGGCTGCAAACACAACACAATATGGTTTCGGATAGTGTCTTGGAGTGGCTACGCTACACAATGGCGTTACAGCGGCTGCTATTGACTATATTAACATAAGGCGTAGTAAGATATACACACAGACTTACTCATGCATAATACTATTAAAGTGATTTATTAATTATGCAAACTTTGTGAATCTTCATAAACTGAAGATCTCAAACTCTTATGTTTTTATTTTTCAATTTATATTTTGTCTTATTAATACTTGAGTTTTCTATTTAATTGGGCTAAGTTTGGGGCCAAAGGGCTTTGGTCTAAACCCATCTTTTAATATTTTGATTTATTTCCTTTTTATTTTTGCGTGGCGACATGACTCACACGCGAGTTGGATGCATTGACCTAGATAGATGTGAATTGAAAGGGGTCAATTAAGTTAGGGTGGTAAAGGGAAGTTAATCTTTCCTATATGTCTTTGGATAGTCTGACTCTCGCATTGTTGTTATATATTGATGTTCTGTTTGTGCTTGCAAAAGCCCATTGATTTGTGCTACGTAATGAAAATTAGTTTTGGTTGTCAGTATGTTCAGAAGGACAATGTCAAGAATACTAATCGAAAAGACTCCAAAGACAAATCAGCCTTTACTGTGGTCCCCAGACATGAGGATCAGTCTGCTGAATCAAGTATAAAAGGAATTTATGAAATTGAATCTTGTAAGTCATCTGGTCTGCCTTTAGATTTTGTTAGATAAGCTTTGTCTTGTGAATATCTCTGGTGTGGTATAGTTATTTTGCATCAGCATCCAATGTTTTCTAATCTACTTTCACCTTGTATATGCCAAGTACCTCGTTTTCTTTTTTCTCTTCGTTAATAACTTAATACATGTAATTTACTTTTAATTGCTTGCATATTTGATTACAAGATGTATGGCATGCAATTTTGAACCATTGATTATTCAATGTATCTAGTCTTAGAAATTTAAGAGATGAGAATTTGAGTTGATAGTTAATACTACATTCGTTACTTTTTATAAGAGTCAACTCACTTTTTAGGTTCATTGAATAATCAATGTATCTAGTCTAAAAACTGACCAAATACATTGATTATTCAATGAACCTAAAAACTGAATTGTCTCTTATATAAAGGAACGAAGGTAGTATATTAATGAGAAAACCTGAGAGTCTCATGACATTCATTTTAATAATTAAGTTATTGTTGGACTTGGTTGGACAAGTCATTTGCACACATGCCAACTAGCATCCTCATAGATGAGTGTCAATATTTTTTTTTTTTTTTTTAAGTATCTGGGTTCCCTACTATCATTCTCCTTTTCCCCTTCTCTAAAAGTTAGTGGATATAATATTTTGAAAACATATGGGAATTCACTTACTTTTGGAGAGAAACAAAAACAGCATCCAAATTATATTTCTCAATTTTTTTGAAGGTTCAGCAATTGCAATTGTGCTTTTAAGTCCAAGTTTCATGTATTTTAGCTGATAAATATTATGGTTGTATTATTTGTGGTTGATGAATATGCAGTGCATGGCATTGAGGGTTCCGTCTCTGGAATACCACTGACTTCTGACTCTGGAAAGAAAAAAATCCTCCTTCTGAAAGGAAAACAACGGGAAATCCCCAAAGTAGGTCTAATTTCACTCGTAAAATTTTCTTCTCGCTTCATCAGTATCTGGCTCATCTCCAATTCACCTACTTTTATTAATCATCTGAAAGTCTTGTATTTCCTTATAAGAAAATAATGTTCTTCATTTCATATAAGCAAAGAAAAATAAAATTTACTTTTCTCCCGTTCTATCTAGGTAGACATCTTATTTTTCTTTTCTGGTTGGCAATATTGAGTGCCGCCCTTCCTTGAAAGTTAGTTTGGAGCAGTAGAGTCACTCAAACATGAATAAGCTCTCCTTATTAAATTTTATTATGAACTTTTTGTGGAACTTTCAGGGCACTGAAGGTGTGGTAAAACAGCAAAGTGCACAATCTGCAAATTCGGCCATTTCAACTACTTCAAAACAGAACCAAAGGCGTGACGCTGGTGGAAGATTGATTAGGAACATACTTCTAAATAATGATTCTCGTCAAAGTCAATCCACATCTGCTGGACAACATAAGATTCAAATCTTAACTTCTGAGAATGGGAAGCGACTACCTCGTCCTTTTGGTTCAAGGTCTGGAGTAAGTGATCAAGTCTCTAGTCATGATGCTGGGCAAGTTAATTCTGAAGGGGATTCTAAAAGGGATTTGAGTGAAAAGTTCGTCAGAAGAGATTTGCATGGCTTGAGTATTTCTGGTGATAAAACAGAAAAACGTACTAGAAGGCCTGATCGTGGTGTTTGGACACCCCTTCGCCGTTCCGATTCTTCACATTCTGGTAATGAGCTCTCATCATCCTCAGTGGCACAACCTACACCGTCAAATCCTGAATCAGTTGAAGGTATGGCCAAGGACTAGACAACAAGCTGTTTACACACAAAATAGATGATGTATTTCCGTTTAGTATAAATCAGGACTATGTCATCTTTTTTTTCCCACTTGAAATTTCAAAACAAACCTGAGTGATTGAAATCTTCTGAATGGTGGTTATTTTCAATTTTTAGCAGGAGAAGTACAAGAAAATGTTTATTCGGGAAACAGGAGTGGGGAATTCTCAGCTTCTGCAGTTGTACGCAGTAGTCCCTCTGTTGAGAATGGTTAGTGTCTCTACTCATTATGGAAAAAAAATCATGATATAAACAATAGAAGGATTTATCTGGATTCTAATGGATAAATGCTTCAACCAATTTTTTGAGCTCTGTAGGTTCAAAAAGAATTTTTACTCGCCGTGGGGCTCCCTATATAGTGAAGGATGGTGGTGCAGTCATTTTGAGTGAAGTGAAACTTTCAAAGAAAGGTGTTGTTGGACCTAGTACTCATGAGGTATACATGTTATATTGATGTATTCTGTCCCGCCTCTTTGCTTGAATCACCCTGTAAAATGCTTTTCTGTCTGCAGAAACAAGTTTGGGTTCAGAAACCATCTTCAGGGACTTAAAATCGTCGTGGTAAGCCATTAGTTGTTTGCATCTAGTTTTATTATCTTTTATCTCTTCTAAATAAAATTCAGAGCTTATTGACGTTTTGTGAAACTTGTGGTTAGTTGTGATATGTTTGTGATTTTTTTGAACTGTTGTTGAACTCTAAGTTGCTGTTGAATGGATTATTATTGTTCACAAAGCCTTGATCTATTGTTCCAAAATTCTTCTAAAACAATCATGTCAATTTGTAGCGATTTTCAATATTAAAATGGCTATATAACTGTTGTTGGAAACCGGAAAAATGTCTGAAGTGGGTTAACCTTGAAATATGAATTTACATGAAACTAAAAGCTTTTAAATCCTTGTGTGCAAGTTAGTATACATACATCACACGAGCGTTTGTGTTTAGTAGTCAATGCAGAACTGTTAAGTTATAGCAGTAGATTACTTAATTCTTTGATTATCACGCCGGCAAAAAGTTTAGATGAACTTTTGGATGTTTTACACACAAGCTAGTGAGCTTTAAGATGTGTTGATTTAGACTTTTTGGCGTCTGTCTTGATAATCAACATTCTAGTTGAACAAGTGTGCTTTTGTAATTACAGATGTTGTTTTAGTCGGTGGTTTAAGGGTATTATCTACTTCCAATTTTGCAAACAGATAATGGATACTCAGTCAGCGCAACTATTCCTTGAAAAATTGAGGGGATTATTCCTGCTACATTGAGCTAGGGATCCGTTTAGCATATCATCCACAACCAATTCAGGTCAACATGAGCCTAAGCGCCTTGTTAGGTCTGTGCAAGTTCAATCTTTGTTAATACAGGATTACTTGAATGTGGTTTTCATTTTAGATTTTTTGAAATTTCTTTGTCCTGTAAATAATTTAAAACGTTTTTCTACAGAAAAATGATCCAATTGTTGCCTGACGGAGCTTGCAGAATTGAAAGAATGCAAAATCACAGACCTCCTTGACATGATTATTTACCGAAAACAGACCGACATTGTTAGCCATGTTGATGGGTTAGACCCTTGAATGGTTTGTCTTTCTTAATTGTTGAATATTTTGGTTTTGGCAAATGTTTGCGTGTTTAACTGTATTTAATAGTCTTGGTATTTGCCATGGGATAGTATGCTGGGATAAGTGAATCAATTAGTCCATTTCATTGGACATATATATATAGTTGAATAGTGTATACTTATTGCTCGATTTTAACATACACATGATGTACATGTTTTACAAATTGATTTTCAACCCATGCCTCTCATTTTGTATCAATTTTAATAATTTTACTTTCGTTCTAGAAACATGCAGTTTTACATAATATTGGCCTTTTGAGGTCTTTTAAGATTAAGGGTGCACAACTTTCTTAGTGAAGAAAACTTGGACTTCAGAAAAAAAAGAAGATAGTTTGGGTATTCTCCATCTAAAAGATTGTTCCATTTAAAATTAATGATACACATATTTCTCTATTTAGAATCATAGATATAAGACATGTGGCTAAAAAGATTTTAAGGTTGAGATTTGAAATAACAAAAACAATTTAGAATTTGTTTAATTTAAAACTTAAAATGAAGTATTGTTTGATTGTTTTTTTTTAAATTCATAATATATTCAAATAATCAACTCAAAAGATTTATTAGAATTTTTTTTTTATATTATCAGGCATTTTTGAAAATCTAATGCTTATTTCAATTGAGAAGGTTTGATGGATATGCGATTTAAGTTGCACAAATGTTATTTTAGGATATGTGTTAATATATAAAGAAGATTTTATAAACTTCTTTCACACCATTTGAATTTTTGCATATGTTTTTTGATTCTGAAGATATATTTTCGGATGCACTAAAATTCAATTGAACGTTAAAGTATTTCGGGGATATATCTCCAGATGTTTCAAAACTAAATCGAATGTTAAGATATTTTGTAGATATATCTCTGACACATTTTGGAGCATATTAACGCGCCATAGTTTTCTACTCTCATTTTTCATTTCATTCACAAAATCTTCCACTCTCTCAATCTCAAATTTCTCCAACTCCACCAAACCATATTCCATCAATAGGAGACTTCAAGTAAACATTAAGCATCATTCATTTCAACATCAAACATCTTTCAAATCATAAATTTTGGGTAAATTTTGAGTTTTCGGTAAAAATCTGAGTTTTGTTGTAAATGAGTTAGAATCAATTGTTAGGTGTAGAAATGTTTAGAAATCATATGAAACATAGTTTAGAGAAAGTGTATGTATTGTTTGTTGGCTCAAATGGACGATCAGAGCTTATTAAACACATTATGAGTAGTAGATGATTCCATTGTCGCGACCTCTGAATTCTAGAAATTTTCGGAGATACATCTCAAAAAGTTCGTTTAATATACTTTAGAAAATTGCAGAGATACATCTCCGGAAAGTTCAACGTTTTATATACTTTAGGAAATTTCGGAGATACATCTTCGAAATGTTTTTGTAGATATATCTCTGAAATTTTTTCAATTTTTATTTTTATTTTTAATTTTCTTATTTGTGTTGTTCTATTGCGTAAACTAATTTTATCTTGCAGGCATAATGGCTGACAGGCAGACTGAGACTTGAACGAGTTTTCGAGCATGCATCCGTTCGGCGGGAACGATGCCATCATGTTCCAGAGGTGTAGGTATATTTGTTCTAGCAGAGGAGTCGACTTCTGGGGCATAATCTACTCCTGGGGCTCAATCTACTCTTGGGGCTCGACCTTCTCCTCAGGCCATTTCATCTTCATCTCAGGCAATTCCATCTCCATCTCAGAGCACTCCAATTCTTCTTCTTCTTCTTCTTCCCTTAGAAGACGAGATGCATCAGCTGACGCGTCACTTCTCCAATCCTCGTGCAGACGTTGAGATGCATCTGTGCCACCTCTTGTTGATCCGGTGTCACCTCCCGTTGATGATCCTGTTAATCTAGTACTACCTCTGGAGGGTGAGGTTGTTGAGGATGTCGAGTCAGAGAGATTCATAGGAGGTCCATCTGATATGTCCATACTTCTTATGTACGCAGACCACACTGCCAAACATAGCTGGAACGAAGAGGTAACTTTAGTATGATTTTTGATTTATTTTTTTACGTTACTATTGATTATTTGTAACTTTAATTATTATTGACATTGGTTATTTCTGAAAAATCACAGGTGTGTGATCCCTAGAACTTTCTAAACCATGAGAGAAAGATTTTAGCATTGCATCAGTTGGAAGACTAGTGGTTTCAGTCGGTTCTGACCGCATCTGGGTTGTGTGATCTATGCATGACCGATTACAGTCTGATCAACCACAAAATGCTTAATGCATTTGTGGAGATATGGCATTTTGTGACGTCTTCTTTACATCTCCCGCATGATAAAATGTCTATCACACTGAACGATGTCTCATATTTCTTGCATCTTCCGATCAGGGAGAGATTCCTCCATCATGGTAGGATGACCAAAGACGAGGCGGTGGAGATGATGGTGACGTAACTGGGGGCTGAACCAGGGAACGCAGTCAAGGAGGTGGATAAGACCAGGGGTGCGCATGCTAGGTTTGAGTTCTTGAAGAATATATTTGATGATGTGATCGCTGCTGCGCAACAGCATGATGGTGATGCTGAGTAGGTGACCTTATACAGGACTCATGCTTTGAAGGCACATTTTTTTTATTTGGTTGACACTTGTATTTTATGGACACGAGTGCCACCTATACTGATGTTGCATACATCCGGTACTTCTTGGATCTCACACGGATCCATGAGTACAACAGGGTGGCGGCTTGCCTGGTCTATTTGCATTCGAAATTGAGAGATGAATGTCGATGGAGGACGAAACATGTCACAGGCAGCACGACACTACTGGTGGTAATAATTTTTTTATCCTTGAATGTATTTTTATCATTTTCATTTCATACTTGCGATAATTCTTGATCCCTACATGCTTTTTATTTTCATTTCAGGCATGAATCCTGCAGCACTTTCTGCGCATCGCTGGCTGAGCGTGTTGGAATGAGTACACTAAGGAGATGCCACGTGCCTGTGCTTTTAACCTGTTGAGAGGGAACCAAACGTTTGAGCCTCTCAGAGTCTATTTTGACCGCTTGGCTGCCGAGGACACCCACTTCAATTGCTACGTGGATCACCGTCAAACGCGGCCATTTGACGACATATCTCTATACTCCGGATGGATGGCTTGCAGATCACTTATCACCGCTCTTCATCTTCTCGAGTGTGTCATGCAGCAGTTTGGGTACACCCGAACCATCCCTAGACACCCTATTGTCTCTGCTCCTCATGCATTGACTCGTATACAGATAAATGAGATATTTGCTGATTATCAGAATCACCCTATTGCCGATGGATACATTAGGTGATTCTTTAGGGTCTCACATACATACATGGTGTCGACTGCTCTAGAAAATCCGCTGATACCCGCTCATCAAGAGATTCTAGAGGAACATACATTAAACAACTAACAACACAACATAAGGAACCTTTGAGATATACTTAACTTTAACATCTGTCTTTTAACACTGATTCAATGAGAGCTTAAATTGATTTGTCAATAGAGTACTCATAACTTTCTAATTACTTATGCAAAACTTGTCTAATACCTTTTCAACATAACTTTTTCAAGAGAACTATAATTTTATAGCACTCACATCCCTATGAATATTCATGTCAAGAATCTTCTTAGCAACACCTAAGTCTTTCATGTCAAACTCCTTTTCCAACATGATTTTCAATTCATTTACATCATGTAAATGATTAGCAGCAATCAACATACATTAATAAAAAAATAAAAGAGTCATCATCAAGGGCAGTGCAACACTACATAAGGTTTAAAGCGAACTTTGAATTGAGACATTTTATATTCTAATAAAAAATTAAATTAAATTATTATAATATTTATTTAAAATTTACTTTTCGAACTACAATATCAAACCCAAATTAGAATTGATAAATCACAAATATAAATCTGTAAAATTGCACAAATTTTTTTAAACATACAAAATTTATTATGACAAAAGTGTTGACTTTCTTAATCCAATTGTAAAATAATATTTATTATGACAAAGCGAGAATAGTAAATCCATCATTATAACATTGATGTTTATAAATTGATAAATAAATAGCTAATATATATAGTTAGAATGTGAAGTTTAGTTTCAACACTTTTCACTTATTGTTATTTGCAAGAATGAAGCCTCACCGGAAAAGGTGTGTCCGGCCAACGTCACCGGAAAAGGGATCAAAGCATTTTATGAAAGCCATACTTCGCTCGCCCATTCATGCCAAGCAAATTGTATGTTTCTGTTTCTATCTCTCTCTGTATGTACAGTGTATAGTGAAGTGCGGGTAATATCTTGTTTTGTAGTTGTATGCATGCATGCATGTCATTAATCATCTCTTTCAGATGCTTTGTGACTCTTTTGTGTGTTTGCATGCATGTTCATGATCTCTTCTTTTAATCATTTTAGAAAAGTAAATATTTTTTGACATGTTTGCATGTGCTCAAGTAAAATTGATTATTGCTGCAGAGAATTCCAGATGAGTTTATAACAAGATTTGGGAACGAACTCAAGGATGTTGTTACAATTACTGTTCCGGATGGCCGAGTTTGGGAAATGGAAGTCGAGAAACGCGGTGACGAGGTTTACTTTTGCAACAAATGGCAAGAGTTTGCAGAATACTACTGTATAGGATATGGTTGCTACCTGTGTTTCAAATATGAAGGAAATTCAAAATTTTGTGTTATCTTATTTGATATCACTTCTGTTGAAATTTCCTACCCATTCAAAACAAGTGAGAATGGTGGTGAACAGGTGAAAATCATGTGTAATTCTGATTCTAAGAGCTCAGAGGATGCTGCCAATGAATTCAATCCAAACAACCCTTATTTTCGTTCCAAAATTAATAAAGGAAATAATGCGGTGAGGATTTTACTCTAAACTAAATGCTGAATTTTTGACTTATTCATTCATGCTGCCACTAAAATTTATATCTGTTTTATTGTGCAGCATGTTCCGGTTGATTTTGCTTCAAAGTATCTCAAGTCAAATGTTGGTATGAAGCTCGAAAATTGTCGCAGCATGTTCCGGTTGATTTTGCTTCAAAGTATCTCAAGTCAAATGTTGGTATGAAGCTCGAAAATTGTCATGGAGAGCAGTGGGAAGTTTTTGCTATGTCGCGTAATGCCACATCATTGGGGAAAATGCAAATAACAAGAGGATTCTCTAAATTTCAAAGGGACAACAATCTGTCAGAGGGAGATATTTGTGTGTTTGAGCTGATCATGGAGAATCCGGTTGTGCTAAAAGTCACAATGTTTCGCGCAGGTGACTATGGTGATTAACAAGTTATGTATGCTCTCTACTGTGATGTTGCATGCTATATGTGATTTTGGCACCATCTACTGTGATGGATGAGGCATGATGTTGCATGCTATATGTGATTTTGGCACCAACTAGTAATAATCACTTGTGTAATGAAATGTTTTTGCTTTTGTATCATGAAGCAATGTTCAAGATTACATGTTGCTTTCAGTTACTAATGCCTGATGAAATGCAATCAATGATGAGTGTGTTTAGATATTTCATTGGCTAAGTTATTGAGGTTGTTCTCTTTAGAAATTGAGAGGCCGATATTTGGGATGAAATTGCTTGAAGAGGTAGAGTTATAGATATTACACTAGAGATATATAAAGGTTCAACTTACAACATTGTCTATTCATGTTTCTAAGAGTTTTTTCTTAAGAGTTCCACTAATAATAAATCTTAAGCTTTTAAGGATATGTTCATGAACCTTCTTACAACAAATGAGAGATTTAACACAGATTAATTCTCAAATCAAATGGAGCTTTTAACAAGCTAAACTTACTAAAAAAAGTAAATATTTTAATTGACTAATCTCAAGAATCAAATAGAGATTTTCGCATACACTCTAAAAAACCAAAGAAATATATTTCTCAAGAGAATCTCACCCTTGAACAAAAACCAAATGCAACACAACACCGATACAACGAGACTTTCACAAGTATTTTTTCACTCACTTGACACACCAATATAACGAGACTTTCACAAGTATTTTTTTCACTCACTTGACACTAAGGCAATTTTGGTGATGAAAACAAATAGAGAAAAGATGAGTAGAAAATGAGATAGATCAGAGCTTCAACTTAGAAATCTGGTGTGAAATAGAATGAGAAAAACCCTCTATTTATTGAAAAATAATTGATTCAAAAAGAAAATGATCCATAGACATTTTTAACGTCTTAATCGATTAATTCTAAATGTTAATCGATTAAACAACCCTAATATGAATAGTTTGAGTTACGACGTCATTTATCGATTAAAGACTTTCCTAATTGATTGAAGGTGTTACAAATGTGTAAATCGATTAATTCTAATCTGTAATTGATTAACCAGTGTCAAAAGTTCTCATAATTTGTTAAACAAATTAGTAATCAGTTAAGGATGCGTATAAAAATATTTTTCAGGTGTCTTATTAAATAAGAGAGGCTTTAAAACATATTTGAGTGTGTGTGAGCTTCCTTAGTATCTTGAGAGTTACTGTTATACCTTTACATTAAACTGATCTCTCTGACACACGCTAAGTGTAAACTTTCTCTCTTTTGCAACCTTGGAGCTTCAAGTTCTTTTACTAGATTCATCATTAATGTAGAGCTTGAATTATAACTTGAACTTTCTCACTAATGAGAGTTGAGAGAGATTTTCGTTTGGATACCATTGACAAATATTGCTAGATAGTTGTCACCACATGCTTTACCAAATGACATTTGACCTTAGCTATTGTCATCATCAAAACCAACACAGTCATTTATCGGTTGCAAATAGATGTACACTTAAGCTCATAGATCCTTGTCGCCTTCCAAGACAATATGAGTATGCAGGATTTCCTTGAAAAGATCCTTGTCACCCTCACGGGCAATGGGAACAGACTACATATGGGTGGATCCCCTCATCTAAATGCCTCACCTGAGGGATTTAAAGTATCGTCAACATGCTCAATTAGACGCCTCGCTTTAAGGACTTATAGTCTCATCATACATGTTCAACATATAATCTTGCATGAGTGACTAAAGTCTCGTCAAACAGGATCTAACATAATGGATCGCCTAAGAGACTCGACCAAAGTCTGACTCGAGAGGCTTAACTTAAAAGTCTTTCCTGAGGGTTTCAACTGAAGTCTTTTTTTAGAGACTCAACGCCTTGCCTAAAAAGCTTAGTGTCTAATCAAACAAGCTCAATCAAATGCCTTGCCTGAGGGACTTAGAGTCTCATCAAACAGATTCAACATATAATCTTGCTTAAGGAACTTAGAGTCTCATCAAACAGGATCCAGCCTAAGGTCTCGCCTAAGCGACTCGACCAAAATTTGTCCAGAGAGCTAAAAGTCTTGCCTGAGGGTTTCAATCGAAGTCTTGCCGAGATACTCAATACCTTTTCTGAGGGACTTACGGTCTCGTCAGATAGGCTCAACTCAATGTCTTACCTAAGGGACTTAGAGTCTCATTAGACAGGCTCAACATATAATCTCACCTAAGGGATTTAGAGTCTCGTCAGACATAACCCAACCTAAGTCCTCGCCTAAGGGACTCGACCAAATTTCTAGTCCAAGAGACTTAACTTAAAAGTCTTTCGTGAGACTCAACACCTTGCTTGAGGGACATAGAGTCTCGTCAGACAGTCTCAACTCAATTCTCCTTTTCAGGGACTTATAGTCTCATTAGACAAGTTTAATATATAATCTCGCCTAATGAACTTAGAATTTCACCAAAAATGAGCATCTAAACACCTCACGTGAGAGACTTAGAGTCTTATCATATATGCTTATCACATAATCTCACCTGAGGGACTTAGAGTATCGTCAGACAGGATTCAACCTAAGGTCTCGCCTAAGGGACTAGATCAAACAGTGGCCCGAGAGACTTAACTTTAAAGTCTTGCTTGAGTATTTAGAATGAATTCTTGCTTTCAAGACTCAACGCCTTTCTTGAGGGACTTAGAATCTTATCAAACAGGATCAACTTAACGCCTAGCTTGAGGGTCTTAGAGTTTTATCAGTCAGGCTTAACATATAATCTCACCTAAAGGACTAACAGTTCCATCAAACAGTCTCATTTAAACGCCTCACCTCAGGGACTTAAAGTCTTTTTAAACAGACTCAACTCAACACCTCTTCTAAGGGAGTTGGAGTCTCATTAGGCAGGCTCAACATATAGTCGCTCCTTAAGTGTCTCATTGAACAAACACCTCATACGCATAGTCGATTAAATCACTTTTCCCTCTATCAATTCCTTGTGCTTGAGGGACAATGTAGTGATATATTTACGGAAGACCTACCAAGGGTGAGGGGATTATGTTGCCAGGAAGGCGTGGCATACTCACACCGCCTACAATTATGGGAAACCTCACTTTAAACGCTCCCCACTCGCCTAATTTTGGAGAAACCTAGGAAATGATGTGTCTTGGTCAGAGAGAATCAAGAGTCAAGAGACAGAACCACCTCTCCCTAGGAAATAGGGATTCAACAGTCCACTATCATGACTAAGTGGACGGTTGTCATTCCTGAGAAACCCTAATTGTAGACCATTTGATATTTATAAATATCTCATCCCTAGCATGAAAGAATACAACTCATATCATACACAAAATACCTTAAGAATACTAAGTCTATCATCTCACGTGAGTTTGTTCTCTTCATAGTTAAAAACACCGCCGAATAAGGTTTCTCACCACCGTGAGCAATCTCTAAGCCACATGAAATCCCTAAAGTTTTTGACCACCCTTACCAACATAAGGATGCCATGCATATGTACTCTTTTACAAGTACAAAAATACATCTATAATGTAACCAATTTGTCGTGGAACAACAATTCAATGATCGTAAAGTTACAATATATCGAGGATTTTACTTGCACTCCATGAGGTGCAACCCAACCCCTTACCATTTTTAAAAAATCAATTATAACTCTTTTATAATTTTTTTTTTCTAAAATTTTACAATTTTATTTTTCAAATTTTACTCTCAAAATCTCTTAAAATTAAAATAAAAAAATTAAACTAATGAATGTTGATGTAATTAGTTCATATATTGAATTGAATACATTACTCTTTGTTGAGAATGATATATATTTAGAATGTTAAGCCTATACTTAATATAGATGTATTTAAGGGGCAAGGATTTAGTAACTTTAGTGTTACTGTGACTTTTTGACTTTGGGCAAAATAAATAGATGAATGATGATTAAAATAGATTATTTGTTGAGAGAGAAAGATATAGAAACAAATTTATCAAAGTTACAAAATTTTAAATTCATCAAAACCCTTCCCTTATTTAAGATGGGAAATGGTTAAAGTTTTCCACACCCATCCCATTCAAGAGAAAAATAGAAATTAAAATGAAAAAGTGAGGCATATCGTTGCATGTCTTTCTTAAAAAAACGTTATAATAAAACTTTCTCATTGAATGATTTTATCTTATGTTATGAAAAGAATGAGAGAAAGAGACAAAGAAAATATGAATGGTAATGGTAACATCATGTTCCCTCTCCTCATCTGTTTCCTTCATATCAATTTTCACCTTTCTATCTTCGCAACACATTTTAAATATATCATTTTTTCCTTTTCTTTTCATTAATGTAAATATCAACATACCATGAATAACCCCCGAGGGATGACATAATGATTTGAGCTTGGTCTTGAGGGTGTACTTTTTTTAAGGTTTCAGGTTCAATAATGAAGGAGAGAGAAAAATTTATTTTTATTTTTTAATTAATTAAAAAATTGTGATTGATTGTATGTAAATCCACATGTTATGTTCGTGTCTATATAAGATTTTTTCTTACAAGTGAGAGAACCCATACATCTATCACTTTAAAGTTTTTGATGAATATGTGGAGTGTCTCTCACAAGGTGTGTTCTCACAAGGTGTGTTGTTCATAGAGAAAAAACTCTTAAAAATAAAAAATAGTCTCTCATGTTTGAACCCCCAAATCGATGTCCTAACATTGGTATTAGAGCCTGGATGACTTTGGTGGGAGAGCGGAAATGGATCTTATGTGGATAAAAACTAATGACGTGGGTGACTCACATTTGTGGAGAAGATTGTTGGACTTCAAGTGTGCAAAATGATAAAGTTTCACTAAGAATAGACGAAATGTTGGATTCACAAGAGAGATGACTCATACCCTCATTGCTTTAAGGTTTTGAGTGGATACGTGGTATCAAGGTTTATTGGAACCATGAACGTTTGACCCATTGATACTTGTGACGCTGTCCAAACTCTCCAACTGTATTATAACGAGATTTTTGTTCGAATGACAGATCCACTTGTATTGAAAGTCTTCCCCCATTAGAAGGTGGGTAGGAGGTGTCTCATTTAAGGGTGTTTGTGAATGAAAGAGTTCGCACTTGTATAAATTTATTACTAAGACTTCCTTGTTTAACCAAAGTATAAATAAAATAGCTTTTATTAAGACAAGTAGAGAATAGTAAAACTTGAAAACAAATTGTCTAGTTCCATCAGTAAAGTTTCAACAATGCAGCCTCCCCGGAGAAACACTGTCCGGCCATCGGCGCCGGAAAATGAATCAAAGCATTTTATGAAAGCCATACTTCCCTCACCCATTCATGCCAAGCAAATTGTATGTTTCTCTTTCTCTCTCTATCTTTATGATCTCTCTGTATAGTGTTTGGTATCTTGTTTTGTACTTTTTGATTGCATGCATGTTGATCACTCCTTCTGTCTAAGCTTCTAAAATTGATTTCTCACTTTTATTTCATTACATCCTTCAAAGTGAATTCAACAATAAATTTGAGATTTTAAATTATGTAATTGGGGGCATAAATTTTAAATCTAAGCTTTTGGAGTTATAAATAAATCTACTCCCATAAAATCAATTTTGACTCCCACAAAAGTGAAGCTTTTTAAGAATGGTTATTTTTGTAGAGAATTCCACAAGAGTTTATAACAAGATTTGGGAATGAACTCAACAATGTTGCTACAATTACTGTTCCCGATGGCCGTGTTTGGGAAATGGAAGTCGAGAAATGCGGCAAGGAGGTTTACTTTTGCAACAAATGGCAAGAGTTTGCAGAATACTATTGTATAGGATATGGTTGCTACCTGTGTTTCAAATATGAAGGGAATTCAAAATTTTGTGTTATTATATTTGATATCACTTCTGTTGAAATTCCCTACCCATTCAAAACTACTCATGGAGAAGCAAACACAATGTGCCTTAGTCCTATGAAAAAGTCCAAGGTTACAACAAGTGAGAGTGGTGCTAAACAGGTGAAAATCATGTCTAATTCTGCTTCTAAGAGAGCAGAGAAGGTTGCCAATGAATTCAATTCAAACAATCCTTATTTTCGTTGCAAAATCAATACGGGAAAATATGCGGTGACGATTTTACTCTACACTAAATACTGATTTATTTATTTATTTATGCATTTTGCCACTTAAAATTTATATATCATTTATGGTGCAGTATGTTGCTGCTGATTTTGCTGCAAAGTATCTGAAGCCAAATGTTCCTATAAAGCTCCAAAATTCTCATGGAGAGCAGTGGGAAGTTTTTGCTGGAACGCATGATGCCAAATCATTGGTACCAATGCTAATAAGGAGAGGATTTCCTAAATTTAAAAAGGACAACAATCTAATGCATGGAGATTATTGTGTGTTTGAGCTGATCAGTGAGAAGCCGGTTGTGCTAAATGTCACAATGTTTCACGCAGTTGACTATGGCGATTAACAACTTATGTATTGGTACTAACTAGTTATAATCACTTGTGTGTGCTGTTTTTGATTGCTTTAATGAGATGTTTTTGCGTTTAGATGACTGTGAAAAACCCCGCAGGCGAGACGGGATGAACAATACTATATTTTACATGTTGCTTGCTGTTACTGAGAGTGTTAACATGTTGCCTGATGAAATTGATGGATGTTTAGTGTGTTTAAATATTTCATTGGATGATAGATTAGGTTTTATCTTAATTGCTAACCATCGTGGAAGGTAACTGAATTTCAAAGGATAAAAAGATGAAGGGAGTTGTTGAATCATGAGTAGTTTACTTGTGATACAAGTAATCAACCTGCATTTTGCCTCTGCTAAAGATTGAGATACAATAGGGTGACACAGAAGTTGCTCAAATTAAAATACAGAGGAGGTACTACAAAATGTAGTGAATATTGAGAAAAGAATATGGTGACAAACCTAACATTCATGAGTCACATTAGCATGCCAAGCAGACGTATATATTAGTACATGTTCAAATAGTTCAACTTCAGTGCCAATGCCATTCTAAAGCCTAAATTAGGTAACTAAAAAAATGAAATAATGAACCTAATGCCAACTTGTTTTTCCTTTGACTAAAAGTTTGCTTTTATGTGTACCAATTACCAAAGCTAACTTCCACCTTGAAATATATGTTTTGAAAACTCATCTATAATGTAACCAATTTTTTGCTTTCCATCTAGATGTGGAACAACAACTCAATCCTTCCTTGAATGGTACCTGTTGAAAAAAAAAGAGAGCGAGAGATATTTGAATAAAATTATGTGTTTGAATAGTACTAGTACTACAGAGATTGCATTATAGAATGACTTTTACGACTTATTGTATTAATGTTGTATTAATTACATAAGGAATATACTACGGTATATTTTAGATAGGTTAAGAAATATTCTATAAAATATTCTATATACAAATATTAACATAATTTATTCTTAATACTCCCTCTCAAGCTACATATTATATGTTATATGAGACGAACTTGTTACAAATATAATCCATTCAAGAATCCCTGAGAGACTTAGTGAACATATCAGATAATTAGTCTTCAAGTTTGACATAATTTGTGGTAATTTCTCCTGAAAGTACCTCGTCTCTTACATAATGACAACCTATTTTTATGTATTTTGTTCATTCATGGAAAATCAGATTAAATGCAATATGGGGTGTTGCTTGATTACCGCATATAACTTTTGTGGCATAAAGATCTCCCACCTAAGCTTTGAGAGTAAATTTTTAAGCCATGCAAGTTCCTTTGAGGCTGTTGTCATAGCACGATATTCAGCTCTAGCACTAGATAGTGCAGCTGTATCTTATTTCTTACTTCTGCATGAGATCATATTACCTCCAATAAGAACACAACATCCAAATATGGATCTCCTATTCGACGATGATCCGGCCCAGTCTGCATCTAAATAACAAATGATTTTAGCATCACATTTATCTTCATATAATAATCCTCTTTCTGGTGCTTTCTCTATATATCAAAGATTTCTATTGACTGCATCCAATAACTATAATAAGGAGAGTTCAAAAATGGCCTCACGTTGTTTACGCAATATCCGATCCAGTGAATGTAAGATAGTTAATTCTACCCATAAGTTGTCGATATCTTCTCGAGTTTTTAAATGGCTCTCTCTGACCCAGAAGAAGTTTGACGTTGGGATCCATATGAGTATCAATATGACGAAAATCAAGCATGTTAGTTTCATTAATGATGTCTAATGTTTACTTGTGTTTATTACTTACAATGCCTGACGAAATCAAGAGGGAAAAGGATATTGTATCTCTTGTTGTGTCTGTAACAGGTAGGGGTGACAAAATGGATGGATTGTATGAATATTGATTGAATTGTTAATGGATGGATCAAAATAATTCATTAGTCCATTAATAATCTACTAAAATTTTCTTAAAATTATCTAATTCAATACATCCATTAACGTATTTTTAATGGATGAATATTCATCCATCCATTTTTTTTTATTTTGAAAAAATAAACATATTTTTTTATTTTTTAAAATTTTGATTTTTTTTTTATATTTTCAAAAAACTCAATTTATTTTATTTTTTAGAAAAAATTGATTTTTTTTTATTTCAAAAATTTTATTTTTTGTATTTAAAAAAAATTGTTTTTTAATATATTCGTGAAAAAGTTGAATTTTTTGTTTTCGAAAAAAAATCAACTTTTTGTATTTTCGAAAAAAATTAATTTTTTTGGGGGGAAAAATAGATTTGTTGTATTTTTTAATTTAAAAAAAATTGGTTCTTTTTTAAAAAAAAACTTGATCTTTTGTATTTTTCAAAAAATCAATATTTTAAAATAGTGAGATAGATAGAATGTGAAGTAACCTTTGAACACTTTTTACTTATTGTTATTTGCAACAATGCAGCTTCGCCGGAAAAGTTGTGACCGGTCATCGGCGCCGAAAAAGGGATCAAAGCATTTTATGAAAGCCATAGATCCCTCACCCATTCATTCCAAACAATTAGTATGTTTCTGTTTCTCTCTTTGTGGCTAACTATTTTATGACTCTTTCACTTGATCAAATAATGGGATATTGCCAATCATCATCACAATATGTATAACTTATTTTCTAGTTTTATGCATGCATGCATGTTGATCACTCTAAGGTTCTGTTCACTCTAAAAATTGAGAATCATGAGAAAAAAAAGTCAAAAGCATGTCTAAACATGCTTCTAAAACAGTAGAGGATGCTGCCAATGAGTTCATCCCGGACAACCCTTATTTTCGTTCCAAATTCACAAAGGGCCAGTATCTGGTGATGATTTTAATGTTTCAGTTTTTGGTTTGAAGTAAAAAGTGTTATTTATGTGGCCACTTAAATTGATTTCTCATCCATTGTGCAGTATGTGACCCAATTGATCCATTTAGCGTTTTTGTTGGAAATGGTCAGGAACTGATGTGCACTCACATTTGTATTGTAAGGTCATGTGTTTGAACTGGACTTATTTGTGTTGAGCCTGTGTGGTGCTGATGTGGTTCTTGGAGCCCAATGGTTAAAAATACTAGGCTTAGTTCTTATGAACTATAATTTTCTCCCAAAAGAGATTAATATTCTTTTTTGTCACATATTTCAATTTTGGAGTCTATTTTAGTCTCTTAACTTAAAAATGGTCTATATTGGTCATTTAACTCATCAAAATATTTCATATTAGTTTTTTTTGTAATAGCAACAAAAAAAAATTAAAACTCAATCGCTAATTAGACAAAAAGTCTGATAAAAAACGTTTTGAACATACATCACTAAAAATAATCTCGAGGTCAACATACATCACTAAAAATAAGTCTTGTTTGTTTTAGAGAAAAAAATTTGTTTCAAAATCTCACTTTTTAATATAGTAATAATTGTCATTTTTTCAATTGTGCCATATAATTATTATTTTATACATTATTTTCAACAAATTAATAAAATTAATTTAATAAAAACACAATATTTTAAAATAATATTATTGTAAGTACAAAAACCTTAATCGACTGTCATTTTAAAATAAAAATAATAAATTTACATGTCACCTCAACAAAACTGAAAGAAATCAACAAAATCTCAAAAAAATATAAAATTGTGAAATCAAAAAAAGTTAATTTTTAAAATAGAGGAACTAAAACCTGAAAAAAAATTGAAAACGCTGTTCATTTGAAATAAAAAATAAAACCATGTTGAATAATAGGTCGGTTATTGGCTGAAGAATAAAAAGGTCGGAATAATTTTTCAAGAGCATCTTCCCTTTTTTATATATCAAATGAGTTTTTTTTGTGAGAGATGGGAGAGAATCTTCTGCCTGTCTAGTCTCATCACTATCAGTTATGCTTTTTGATTTTGAATGTGAAAGTAAATTTTCAACACATTTATTTCACTTATTATTGGTATCTGCAACAAAACAATGCAGCCTCGCCGGAAAAGGACTGTTCGGCCATCGGCGCCGGAGACAGAATCAAAGCATTTCATGAAAGCCATACTTCCTTCACCCGTTCATGCCAAACAAATTGTATGTTTATGTTTCTCTCTCCCTCTCTTTTCAGTATAAACTAAAATGTGTGTAGCTTGTTTGGGACTACTTTTATTATGCTTGCATCTCAATCATACATTATGCTTTTCTGTACTAACTTGAATTGGTTCTATCATGACAAAAAATGATTTTGAGCAAATGTGAGTTCATTATGAATGGCTTGAACAAAAGTGAACTAAATGTGAAAATCTCTAAAATGTGGTCCTATGGTATTATAGATGAACTCTTATCATTGCAGAGAATTCCAGAAGAGTTTATAACAAGATTTGGGAATGAACTCAACAATGTTGTTACAATTACTGTTCCCGATGGCCGAGTTTGGGAAATGGAACTCGAGAAATGCGGCAACCACGTATACTTTTCCAAAAACTGGCAACAATTTGCAGAATACTATTGTATAGGATATGGTTGCTACCTGTGTTTCAAATATGAAGGGAATTCTAAATTTTGTGTTATTATATTTGATATCACTTCTGTTGAGATTCCCTACCCATTCAAAACTACTCATGGAGAAATAACCATAAAGTCCCCTACTCCTAGGAAAAGTTCCAAGGTTGAAACAATTGGAGTTCAAAGCATGTCTAACACTGCTTCTAAGAGAGTAGAACATGCTGCCAATGAATTCAACCCAAACAACCCTCATTTTCGATCCAAAATCAATATGGGAAAAAATGTGGTAATGATTTTACTTTAAACTAAATACTGATTTATTTATTTATTTATGCATTTTACCACTTAAATTTATATATCATTTATCGTGCAGTATGTTGCGGCTGATTTTGCTGCAAAGTATCTGAAGCCAAATGTTCCTATAAAGCTCCAAAATTCTCATGGAGAGCAGTGGGAAGTTTCTGGCATGTTGCATGATGTCAGATTCTCGTTAGCTTTGCAAATAAGGAGAGGATTCTCTAAATTTCAAAGGGACAACAATCTGTCAGAGGGAGATATTTGTGTGTTTGAGCTGATCATGGAGAATCCGGTTGTGCTAAAAGTCACAATGTTTCGCGCAGTTGACTATGCTGATTAACAAGTTATGTATGCTCTCTACTGTGATGGATGAGGCATGATGTTGGCACCAACTAGTAATAACCACTTGTGTAATGTGTATTTAAAGTGATGTTATTGCTTTTGTCTCATGAAGCAGTGTAGAAGATTTAATGGAGTGTCTTAAAATTTAGACTATTGACCGTTACTTAGACCCGGTTAAATTTTACATGTTACATGTTGGTTTCAGTTACCAAGTAAAAAGATTAGAAGTACAAAGAAAAATCCAGAAGTTTTGAAGAAAAATAAATTAGGTGAAAGAGGAAAGAAAGTTGCAATAAAGAACAATACCACCGCGAAAAAGAAACATGTTATTCTGAAAAGAAGGAAAGTTCATAAAAAGGAATTTTTCTAAGAGGATGTCACAGACAGACATCTGGGTAATGTTTTAGTACCTGATGCTAAAAGAAATAAGAGAGTAGTAGGAGGAAAGAAGTTGTCACATAATGTTCATGTTCTGGCTTTAGACAATGTCTCCTTCCATACTAAGGATGGTATTTTAAAGTGGAAGTATGTCTTCCATAAACACATAGTTGCTAAGTGAGAATTATCTAAAGAAGCAAAGAAGTGTTCTGAAATTACAAAGTTGTTGAATGATGCACAGGTCTTGAAGTTGTTACTACATGTGATTAGCAATATTTTGCATGCAACATGTTAAGTAAGATGTTCTGACATGATGCGAGACTTCCTGTCTCGAGCGTCTTACTTAGTGCGCAAGGTTTTGATCAAGTGAATCTCCAGGTTTCTGGATTTGATTCATTTTATGTGAAGATTGATATTTTATGTGCTTTTTAAAATCCATCCATGATCACGCGAAAATCTCATTAGTCTTTTATGTTGAACAGTTTGTTGGTATTTAAAGAGAGCGTTCTCCATATGTGAAGACTCTATATTGTAAAGCTATGCATTTTAATTGTTCTTGAAAAGTAAAAATGAAAACTATTCTTTAAATATAAAATATAATTTAATTTGAGGTAAAAGTTAAAGCTATTCTGTAAATAGAAAATATAATTTAGTGATCAAAATAAATATAAATAAAAAAAACGTAATGATAAAGAAGAATATGATATGTTGATTGTTTTGTTTGTATTTGGTTTGCGTGTGTTGTTTTCTAAATTCAGCATCACAGTCACTCTCACCTCAATGTCACTCTGACATTCACTTTCTTATTCTTTACTATATTTTCATCTCAAATAACACTTTTTCATGGCAAATAATGCAATGCAGTCTCAGCACCGTTCATCCTCTAAGCACTTCATGAAAGCCATACTTCCCTCTCCCATTCATTCCAAACAGCTCAGAATTCCAGATCAATTCATAGCATGGTTTGGCAATGAACTCAACACTCTTGTTACTCTTACTCTTCCAGATGGTCGCCAATGGGATATACAACTCAACAAATGCCACACCAATGGCGTCTTCCTTTGCAACAAATGGCAACACTTCTCACAACACTATTCTCTTCATTATGGTTACTACTTAGATTTCAACTATCAAGGAAACTCTAACTTTACTGTTGTTATATATGATACAACTTGTCTTGAGATTTCATATCCACTCACTACTACTGCTTCCAATGAATACAACCCAAATAACCCTTCTTTTTACTCTAAATCCATCAAGGGACGCTATGCTGTGAGTATTATTTTACTTTCTGTTTTTTGTTTCTTTATTCTTATGCTGCCACTTGAATTGATCTATCTTCTATTCTGCAGTATATTAGTGCTGACTTTGCTACAAAATATCTCAAGCTAAATGTTCCTATCAAACTCCAAAATTCTCAAGGAAAGCAATGGCAAGTTTCTTGTGGAACGCATATGGTCAATTCATCAGCCATGCGAATATCTGCTGGATTCACTAAATTTGCCAAGGAAAACAATTTATCAGAAGGAGTTATTTATGTATTTGAGCTCATCAAAAAAGAGCCTGTTCTTGTGCTACTAGTTACACAACTTCACAAGGTTTAAAATCTTTCATCAATTCTATTTATTCTTACACTTTTTTCTTCTAATATCTCAACTGTTTGTTTACATTCTATTATGGATAGTTTGGTTAGTTGTTTGTTATTAGTGTATTGGTGAACTGCTTAACTGAATGCATAGAGTGTGAATGGTTATTGCTTATTGCAATGCAGACTGGCCGGGGAAGGAATGTACGATCGGCGAGGGAAAAGGAAGTTAGGGAATCGAAGCATTTTAAGAAGGCCATACTTCCCTCGCCCATTCATGCCAAAGAAATAGTAAGCTTCTGTTTCTCTTTGTTTTGTTTTGTTTATGCTAAATACTGAATAAATTCCTGATGAGCTAATATCACTGCAGAGAATTCCGAATGAATTTGTAACAAGATTTGGGAAAGAACTTGGTAATGTTGCTGAAATTATTGTGCCGGATGGTTCTGTTTGGGAAATGAAACTTGAGAAACGGAACGAAAACATTTTCTTAAGCACCAAATGGCAAGACTTTGCAAATTACTATTCGGTAGAATATGGTTGCTACCTGTCATTCAAATATGAAGGGGATTCAAGGTTTAGTGTTGTTATATTTGATGCAACTTCTGTTGAGATATGCTATCCACTCAAAACTTCGTGTACTAATGAAGAACAAAACATAAAGTGTCCTTGTGCTAGGAAAATGTCTGAGGTTGAAACATATGACAATCATGTCAAAAGCATGTCTAAACATGCTTACGAAAGAGTTGATGTTGCTGCCAATGAATTCAACCCAGAAAACCCTTTTTTTCGATCAAAAGTCTATAAAGGAAGATATCCGGTGACGATTTTTACTCTGTAGTTTCTGGTTTAAAGTAAATGTTTGAGTTATATATTTATGGTTCCACTGAAATTGATATGTCATTCATTGTGTGCAGTACGCTCCTTCTCATTTTGCTAAAAAGTATTTGAAGTCAGATGTTCCTATCAAACTCCAAAATGCTGATGGTAAGCAATGGGAAGTTTGTTGTGCATTCAATCTTCCGAAATCGCCGGGGGCAATGCGAATAGTGAAGGGATATTTTGAATTTCATACAGACAACAATCTGTCAGAGGGGGATCATTGTGTGTTTGAGCTGATCAAGGAGACGCCGGTTGTGCTAAAAGTCACAATATTTCGCGTGGTTGACTATGCCGATTAACAACTTCTGTATGCTCTTCACTCTGATGAATGAGGCATGAGATGTTGCATGCTACATGTGGTTTGGTATTTGATAGTTTAAATGGATTGCACCAACTTGTAATAGGTTAATGTATTCTTCTGTGTTTGATTTGCTTTAATGGTATTTTTGCTTTTCGGATCATGAAGCATTGTAAAAGATTACAACCCTATCAGCAGCTTGAGTTTATGTTGGACTAGTAGTATTTTCAAACTTAGATGACAGTTAGAAATTCTCATTTTTTGGGAATATGAATCAACAAATTTCAATGGATTAATGGATGTTGTAGGTTATTATTATAATTATTGGTTGTCAAAAATCCAAAACCAAAAGAACAAAAATTAATATTACTATTTGCTATACATATGAATCAAAAATAAAATAGAAGTTTACAGTAGTAGACTTTCACTAGTTGAATTCTACATTGTCTCAAAGGCAATAAAATCATGTTCTTACTCTATTATATTTCATGATTATAAGAAATATAATAAAATTCATCTTCCAATTGGGCCATATGAACTCTATTCTTTAATCTGGTGAGATAGATGATGTAACAAATCATGTATTGTTGATCATTAAACTACTGAATTTGAGCTATTTCCACTAAAATCTTGTGAAGAGATTGTGGCTTGGAGAAGAACGGACAATGATCACTGCCTTTGATTTTGAAGACTCCTTCAGGTGGATTTTCCCCCACAAGCTTCTCTTGGACATCGGGTGAAAGAGCGCGGTCATCCAATGTTTGAATGTAAAAACGGCGGGCAGTACCGTATTTGTCAGGAGATAAACACAGCTTCTCCATGATTGGACCAATAGGACTTTGTCTCATTGAAACCATGGCTAACGCAACATCCTGTAACACAACGGATTTCAAATTTTACGAGATCATCGGATACTTGTGTGATTAGAATCCATAAAATTAACAATGCAACAAGAATTTTCAGGTAATCATAGCTCCCCCCGCACACTGATACATCTACAAAGGGGCATGTTCTTAACATATATAAATTTCTAAACAACCAAAAGAGAAGCATACACCTTTCCAACTATCTACCCAGCAGTCTTATCAAATATCCGCCATGGCGGATATACATGGTGGGTTTTGGACATGCCGCAATAGTAATATCGACTGACATTGCCGGTTTTTCCGCTATAACAGCACCGCAAAGCAGTCGGTATGGCGGGATTTTGGCTCTCCGCCATCAACAACACTGCTACAAAGTTAGAAATCTTGTTGTGCATAACCAGGTCTCAAGCATAACCAGCTAAAAATCTAGAAAGAAAAAAGTTAGAAATAGACTCTTATGTCGTCCATACCTTTGCTGGTGATTGATTAAAATACAAGCCTTTCATCTGCTCTTTCTCAAACATAAATCCTGTTGGAGGCTTTTCTTTACCATTACCATGGATCAGAAACTTTGATTCTTGCATAAACTACCTTTACCAAGGAAATCTCGTTACCTCGCAGTTTTTTTACTTCTCGTTCATCAATCCGAACTGGAAATGCCTCAACAGTCAAATTATCTCTCACTTGTACATCATCCATTTGAATTACATGTGATAGATCTGGAATGTACTTCCTCAACTGAGACACATGAAACACATCATGCAAATTCGCAAGCGACGGTGGTAAAGCAATCCGATATGCTACTTCTCCCACCCTCTGCGAAATCTGATACGGACCAACAAAATATGGTGTGAGCTTTCTGGACTTCAAAGCTCGGCCAACACTAGTTACCGATGTAACTCTCAAAAACACGTGATCTCCTTCATGGAACTCAAGTGGTTTCCTTCTCTTATCATGATAACTCTTCTGAAGACTCTGCGACACTTTCATCTTTTCTTGGATCATCTTGATCTTTTTCATGGAACTCAAGTGATTTAGTCCTCTGTTGTGATTTGAGATACGATAATCATGAAAATTAATTAGAACTACTTATTTTTAGAAACAAACTCCTATAGTTATGTACAAAATGCACACGTATTGTTTGACTCATTCGTTTAGATCAAAACAGTGTAAGATTTTTAAGGCTATATGTTGCTATTTATTTACTTTTGGTAAAACTTATTATTATTATTATTATTATTATTATTATTATTATTATTATTATTATTATTGTTGTTATTATTATTGTTATTATTATTATTATAGTCATATATAATATAGTATAATTTATAAACAGCTAGCGAGTTTTTTTTTAAATTGGCGTGTGGATTAAGTTTGTAATGTATTTCATCTTTCATCTTTCATACACTAGGTTGTCAGAACAAGTGCTCTGGGTCTAGTGCAAGTGTTGGTGTGCATTGTTGGTGTAATGTTTGTGTGAGTCTTGTAAATTCTGAGGTACTAACTTTGATCTCTACTGATAGAAAAAGATAACTCCAAAGGACCTATCCCTATAAATTGCATCATTATGATATGATTCAACTAATGATGAAAATAAACATGTAAAGCTTCAGAGATATTTCATAATTAATACCATTGATTAATATCAACAAATCATAAAACTAAAAAATGTAAAGCAGCTAACCTTATGAGCCTGAAAGAAACCAGTCCAAGCAAAGCTGAAATTGAATCTCCTGTTCAAATAAGTGTAAATAATACCATGCATCACATAACGCAAATAGTATTACTACCAACAACAACAACCAAGCCTTAATGTTCTATCCATGATTATGCTTCTATCAAATTGTTAATCTCGAAAAAATAATACTGGTACCAATTTTTAAAAATAAATTAATAAGAATACATTCTATCCAACCTTTGCAAATTATCATTTCCTTTCTATCTCTTTCCAAAACATATGAAACATTTTAAAAATAAATAATGGATAAATTATTTCCATCTTTTTCTTTTCCCATTATTTTGATCAACAAATTTGCCCAGAATGGGAAATTCCATCTTCCTGCAATCTATTGTCTCTCATGAGTGCTGTCAGATGCTTCAAAGCATGTGAAATTTCATCAGAACTAGGGTGTGATAAATCACCCGCAACAAAGGAGTTTGTCTTTTGCCCCACAACAATCCAGCTACACCCGGGCATCTTTTGGATTTCTCTCTGTATCATTGTTCTCCTCAAAGATCTAGCTTCATCCCAATGTCCTGATGCAGCATACATATTAGAAAGTAGTACGTACGGAGAAGAATTTTGTGGTTCTAATTCTATAAGTTTTTCGGCTGCTTTCTGTCCCCTTTTTTCATCCCCGTGTATTCTGCAAGCACCCAATAAGTTAGCCCAAATCATTGAATTAGGCTCAACGTCTAGTTTGTCAATAAACCCTTCAGCTTCTTCAAGAAAACCCCATCGACCAAGTAGATCAACCATGCAAGCATAGTGATCTACTCTCGGACAAATTCCATAATAGCTCAACATGTTGTCAAAAATTTGGCAACCTTCAGAAACCAACCCAGCATGACTACAGGCGGTGAGCACTCCAAGGAATGTGACATCATCTGGTGAAACATTTGATTGAGTCATCTGATCAAAGACCTTCAGTGCCCTATCCGCATAACCATTTTTAGCAAACCCAACGATCATTGAATTCCAAGAAAACGCATCCTTTTTTAACGGCAATTCTTCAAAAACTTTTGCAGCACTTTCTACATCTCCGCATTTGGCATACATATCTATGAGGGCACTGCTAGTTAATTCATCTAAGTCAAAACCAGTATGGAAGATTAGAGAATGCATCTCTTTACCATCTTGCAGTGAGGATAAGAGCGCACAAGCTCGCAGAACAGTAACAAACGTTGCTTGGTCTGGTAAGATATTGTGGTCACGCATTTCTCGGTACAGTTTAAAGGCCTCGTCACTGCAATCATTTTGAATATGGCCAGAAATTAAGGTTGTCCAAAGTACAATACTTTTAAGATTAGATAACTCTGAGAAAAGAACGTTTGCGTCTTCCATCCTCTGTGAGTCCATATACATGCCCAACAAAGAGGTGCCTAAGAATTCACTACCACATAAAAGACCCTTCTTTAATATAGCACAATGGAGCTGCATCCCTAATATTACCTTAGGAAGTTCTTTACAACAATCTATGAGGGAGGCAAATGTGATTTCAGATGGATTTAATCCCGACATCTGCATCTCATGCAAAAGATTAATTGCTTTTTTTGCATCTTTTAGAGCGTATCCTGCGATCAGGGCATTCAAGGAAACCACACTCCACTCAGGCATGGTAGAAAAAACTTTACGTGCATCTTTGATTCGTCCGCATTTGGAATACATGTCAATAAGAGAGCTTCCAGCAAAAAGGTTTGTCTCTAAGCCCAACTTAACCGAAAGGCTATGAATCTGTAGTCCAGCTTCTAGTGCCTTAATATTTCCACAGGCACTAAGAATACTAGCCATAGATACCTCGTCTGGTGCAACGCCGAGTCGATTCATTCTCCGAAACATGTTGAAAGCATTAGTTTCCTCTTCTTCTCGCACGTATCCAACAAGAATAGCATTCCAAGAAATATTATCTCGATATTTCATCTGCTCAAATTGTTTTCTGGCTTCCCTCAAAGCCCCAGCCTTAGCATACATATCTACCAACGCATTATTCACACATAAATTATCGGTAAACCTTTTCTTGATAATAGTCGAATGCAACTGCTGACCGATATCTAAGAATTCAAAGAAAGCACACGAACTCAAAATGCTAGAGTAAGTAAACTCATCCGGGTCAATTCCAGACCCCATCATTTCAGAAAACAACTCCATAACATCACTTAAACAACCATTCTGCGCATAAACTCCAAGAATCGTATTCCACGTAACAACATTTCTTTCACACACAACATCAAACACTTTCTTCGCATCACCCAACCTTCCACACTTCCCATACATATTAACCAAAGAACTCACCACATAAACACTCGACTCAAAACCCAGCTTAACAGCCTCCCCATGAACCAACAAACCATAATTAAACTCACCCAAACCAGCAATCGCACTCAAAACACTCGCGAGCGTAGACCTCGACGACCCCACACCATTCTTCCTCATTTCTCTATAAAACCTAACCGCCTCCTTATAGTAACCTCTCTTACCATGACCAGAAATCATAACATTCCACACAACAACATTATCACAACTACCCATTTCATCGAACAACTCACACGCGTAATCCAACTTCCCCGAACTCACACAAGCATTCAAAACAGTCACATACGCCAACTCATCCAAAACAAAACCACTCCGCATTTCATCAAACACGTGGAGTGCTTCATCATACAAACCAACATTCACATAACCAGCAATCAAAGCTGTCAACGAAGCTGCATCGAGATGTAACAAATCTGATTCTAATGCTGAATCGAACAATGTTCGAGCTGATCTCATACATTTGCATTTCGTATAGAAATGAACGAGGTTACGCTGGATTAACGAATCGGATTTGAATCCTTTTTTAATTATACAGGTATGAACTGACTTACCGAACTCGAGGTTTTCGAGTTTTGTGCATGATGATAAAGTGGTTGAGAAAGTTGTTTGGCTTGGTTGTTGAGATGAGTTTATTAATAAGGTGTAAGTTTGAAGAACTTTTTGGAATAGGCCTTGGCGGGAATTGGTTGTAACTGTTTCTAATTGGTTGTTTGAGTGGGAATGGGAGTGAAATTGGTGGAAGAATTGAGAATTTGGTGAGTGAATGATGAAACGAGAATTATTACTTGTTGTTCTTAACATGTACTTGACTCTATGATGGAGCATCGGTTCTGTTACATTCAACTTACCATCTGAATGTGTATCAGTCAGGCAAAACCTGACCTCGAAACTTTGTGAGATTTCTTTCGGAAGTCGTGTTTGTAACTATAGATTTGAATTTAGTGTGGGTAGCACACAGTACTTCCCGAACGAATAAGCCTTTTCAACCCTTATAACTATAAGAAAAAAGAAAAGTTGTAATTTTTCCTTATATCTTTCTATAGCTTTAACATTGTACCAGTCATATTGATCAATTTAATGTGGGTAGTCACTATAAGGCTGCAAAATTATTTAGGTGGTAGATCTGTGGAGACGATAACTTGTTTCTAGTGGTGAGTGTGTTGGTGATTTGAACTGAAATGATTCTTGTGTTTTACCGAAACGATTCTTCCTTCTACACTGTATCCTTGATAAGTGAACGCAATTTTTTATAAATATTTTTAGGATTAAGATCGACAAAAGAAAGCCAAAAATGAAGATAGTAAACTCCTTCAACCTTAAGGTAACTTTAATTTTTCTACAAGTAGCTATGGCAAGATATGCATGCCAAGTGTTTGTGAAAATGTTCTTGCTATATGGTTAGTTAAATTATGTACTATAAGAGATGAAATTGTAGATATTTTTTTTTGGAAATGCTTTGTAATAAATATTGCTGGTGTGTTTTGTGTATTTTCAGAGAGCTGTAGCTGGGATTAAACGTATTAATCATCATAATAGGCAAGGTCTTTCACTTTGTTTAATGTCTTTCATTTTTGCATAATACGTAATGTTTTTCACTTTGTTTAAACTCTCTTTGCTTCAACACAATTAAGCATAACCCTCTGCTTCATCATCACATAGTAGTTTTCGAATATCTTTTTTTATGCATATTGTTTTGCTCTTCTTCTATTTCTTGTATTATGATAGATATGTCAATTTGGAGAGATGGTTCATATGATTCTTAAGGTTATTTACTATCCTTATAATTTTTTATTATTGAATAAATTTTGATGGATCTTCTATGTATATTTCTTTTCTAGATCTAGAAATTTGTGATTAAAAAAATATTTACAACATAGAGGATAGTAAAACATATTGGAAAATATGTAGGGGTGAGAAGCAACAACATTGGCCACGTCTCATGTTGTGTTCTCAGAAGATTAACTGAGTATACAAAGGATCTTGTACGAGTGCAAGGCAACACTATGTTTCATGAGGCAATGTTATGTCACAAGAGAAATATTGATAGGGATACTATTTTCAATGTTTGCGAACAATACAAAACTGAAGATTTGCCTGAGAAGTCATTGTCAAATGCTTGTTATGACTATGCGGTAGATATTGTTAATCATGAAAAGAAAACAGTACTTTATCTTGCAGTTGAAAATGGGAACAAGTATGAAGTTCATGTAATATTGGTGAATTGTCGCAAGACTGATGATATGCCAGTGGGGTTATCACCTTTGATAGCGGCATTATTGATGCATAATCACGGTATGTAATTACATACTTACAAAGTTATGTCAAAATATTATTAGGAAATTAGCAATTATTTTAGAATATCAGCTAATATTTATGTTTATGTTTCAGAAATGTTGAGGATCATAATACAACATAGGCCAACTTGGATCCATACAAGGGACAAACATGAGATGCTTCCTCTTCATTATGCTGCATCCCTAGGTTACCTTGAAGGTGTTGATTTATTACTTGGATTATGTAAATGTTGCACCATTCAAAGGGACAAATATGGTTATTTCCCAATCCATCTAGCATCTTATGGAGGCCATGTGGAAGTAGTGAAGAAGTTTTAGAATATTGTCCAGATCCAACAGAGATGCTTGACACTTCTCATGAGCGTAATATTGTCCACATTGCAGCAATGCATGGAAAATATGAGGTAGTATGCTACATATTACAAAGTGAACTTCCTGAACATCAAAAGCTGATAAATCAAAAGGATATTCATGGAGATACCCCTTTGCATTTGGCTGCTAGATCATGTTATCCCACAACTGTATACTATTTAGTTAACCATAACAAAAAAAAGGTGAATCTTGATTTGGTTAACAACAACAACGAAACTGCTCTCGACATTATTTATTCATTTTACAAGGCTCGAAAATCATCTTTTAGACAGGCAAGTAGTCATATCCTCTTACAAGCTCATAAATTTATAAGTATGATTGTTGCATAGTAAAAACATTCATTAAATTATTCTCCAACTCTAAAATATAGTAATTTTAATATTCTTAAAAACTGGTTCTGAAATTTTAAACAATGTTTGCATCATTTACAGCATCTTACATCGACTGCACTGGAATTCGCTGGTGCAAAGAAAGGTCTAAGAAAAGTTAGACTTCATATTGAACCTAACACAAGTAAAACTGATCATTTACAGCATGTTAAAGCTTTAGAAAATCCCATAATTGTTTCAACCCTTATAGTGACCGCATCTGTGGCAGCATGTTTGGTTGTTCCAGGTCAAGCAGATGGAGAAGCCCATAACTTAAAACATGCAATGTTTCAATTTTTCATCATCTTCATCACAATATCATTGTTCAGTTCCATTAGTGCAACAATCATACTCTTTTGGGGAACAGTTGGATTAAATGAATTGCTGATTTCCACTCTCAAGATTGTGATGCCACTTCTTGGAATCGCTCTCATTTCGTTATCTTTGGCTTTCATGGCTGGTATCTACACTGTTATCAGTAATCTTAGTTGGCTGGCTAATGTGTTTTTGGTTATGACCGTGATATTTCTCATAACACCACAAAGGCAAATAAACTTTTTTTCGTCTTTTAACTTGTATTTTAAATTCAGTTTGATCCCGTAACTTTTAAAAAGATAGATTAAATTTCTTAAGTCAAAATAAATGATCATTTAGCATACATATGACACTAATGTGGCGACATATTCATTCAAAACCCAGATTTCTTGCAACATTCATTTCATTGTCTAGAATTTCATCTCATTCTTACAACTTTCATACCATTTCTAAAAAAAAAATTTTCAACTCAAGATCCATTGACCCAGTACATTTATAAAAAGTTCATTTTGTGCAATACTATTTGCAAAACCACTTAAAATGTTTTTTTGGAGAGAGAGAGGATTTGTGTGATAAATTTCACATATATTTTTCTTTTAGTGAAAAAATTTGTTTTGGAGTTCATATCTCTTTTTTTAGAGATTTGGGTTTTCAAGAAATTTTTAGAAAATGTTGAATATGAAGATTATTGTTGGCTCAATAGAGGACTCAAGTATCAGAGGTTCAGATCTGGTGGTGATTGCATGAGATACCTCAATAAGATGAAGAGTAGTTTCAGAAGTCGAAGCTAAAGAAGATTGGATGAACAAGAAGATCAAGAGTTTGAAAATGAGAATGAAAATTTCAGAAATTGGTCTTCCATCAAAATGGACCCCAAGCTGTTGTTGTTGAGAATGAGTTGAAGCTGAAAAGTTTTGTTGTTTGTTGTCGGTGGTAGGGATGAATATGTGATTTTTTTTAAGTAACCAACTTTTTCAAATACTTTACCAAATAAATAATCATATAAAAATCAAAATTAAAATTAAAATTATTGTAACATTTAGTCTTAATATTCTCTTTTGCTGTATATTTTAACTTTGTGAATATGTTGTGGTCTCTTAACTTTAAAATGGTTTATATTAATCGCTTAATTTATCAAAACGTTTCGTATTTTTTTCTTTGTAAAAGGAAAAAAAAAAATTAAAACTCAGTCGCTTATTAAACAAAAAGTTTAATAAAAAACATTTTAAATAGTTAAAGTATCAATACAGAATTTTTAAAATCTAAAAAACTAAAATAATCTCGAGGTCAACATTCATCAATAAAAATTAGTCTTATGTCATTTTAGAAAAAAAAAATTGTTTTAAATGACGGTCAATTGTATTATATAATTATTTCCAATAAATTAATAAAATTAATTTAATAAAAATGTAATATTTTATTATAATATCATTGTATTCTTTAATTTATATGAAAAACTCTTAAACGTGAGTTATTTTTAAACGTGAGTTATTTTAAAACGGAGAGAGTAGTATTTTTGAGGCGGAGTCAAACTATAATTGTTGCATAATAAATTTATGTCACTCGTGCAAAACCAAAAGAAATCAACAAAATCTTGAAAGATATAAAGTTATGAAATTAAAAAAAAATTAATTTTTAAAATAGAAGAACTAAAACTAGAAAAAAAATTGAAAAGACTGTTGGTTTGAAATCAAAAATAAAACTATGTTGAATAATAGTTGGGTTATTGGCTGTAGAAAAAAAGGGTGGGAATAATTTTTCTATAGCATCTTCCTTTTTTATATATATCAAATGAGTTTTGTTTTGTGAGAGATGGGAGAGAATCTTGTGCCGTGTCTAGTCTCATCACTATCACATTTATGGTGCAGTATGTTGCTGCTGATTTTGCTGCAAAGTATCTGAAGCCAAATGTTCCTGTAAAGCTTCAAAATTCTCATGGAGAGCAGTGGCATGATGTCAGATTCTCGTTAGCTTTGCAAATAAGGAGAGGATTTCCTAAATTTTTAAGGGAGATATTTGTGTGTTTGAGCTGATCATGGAGAATCCGGTTGTGCTAGGTGACTATGGTGATTAACAAGTTATGTATGCTCTCTACTGTGATGTTGCATGCTATATGTGATTTTGGCACCAACTAGTAATAACCACTTGTGTAATGTGTATTTAAAGGAATTTAATTTGAGGTAAGAATTAAAGCTATTTTGTAAATAGAAAATATAATGTAGTGAATATATTGATAGTTTTGTTTGTATTTGGTTTGCGTGTGTTGTTTTCTAAATTCAGCATCACAGTGAGTCATCACCTCAATGTCACTTTCTTAGTGTTTACTATATTTTCATCTCAAATGTGTAGTAACATAACACTTAGTATCAGTTTTTCATGGCAAATAAGCACTTCATGAAAGCCATACTTCCCTCTCCCATTCATTCGAAACAAGTCAGAATTCCAGATCAATTCATATCATGGTTTGGCAATGAACTCAACACTCTTGTTACTCTTACTCTTCCAGATGGTCGCCAATGGGATATACAACTCAGCAAATGCCACACCAATGGCGTCTTCCTTTGCAACAAATGGCAAGACTTCTCACAACACTATTCTCTTCATTATGGTTACTACTTAGATTTCAACTATCAAGGAAACTCTAACTTTACTGTTGTTATATATGATACAACTTGTCTTGAGATTTCATATCCACTCACTAACACTGCTTCCAATGAATACAACCCAAATAACCCTTCTTTTTACTCTAAATCCATCAAGGGACGCTATGCTGTGAGTATTATTTTACTTTCTGTTTTTTGTTTCTTTATTCTTATGGTGCCACTTGAATTGATCTATCTTCTATTCTGCAGTATATTAGTGCTGACTTTGCTACAAAATATCTCAAGCTAAATGTTCCTATCAAACTCCAAAATTCTCAAGGAAAGCAATGGCAAGTTTCTTGTGGAACGCATATGGTCAATTCATCAGCCATGCGAATATCTGCTGGATTCACTAAATTTGCCAAGGAAAACAATTTATCAGAAGGAGTTACTTATGTATTTGAGCTCATCAAAAAAGAACCTGTTCTTGTGCTACTAGTTACACAACTTCACAAGGTTTAAAATCTTTCATCAATTCTATTTATTCTTACACTTTTTTCTTCTAATAATCTCAACTGTTTGTTTACATTCTATTATGGATAGTTTGGTTAGTTGTTTGTCATTAGTGTATTCGTGAAGTGCTTATTGCAATGCAGACTGGCCGGGGAAGGCATGTACAATCGGCGAAGGAAAAGAAAGTTAGGGAACTGAAGCATTTTAAGAAGGCCATACTTCCCTCGCCCATTCATGCCAAAGAAATAGTAAGCTTCAGTTTCTCTTTGTTTTGTTTTGAGCTACTGCTATTAATATACTGATAAATCCCTGCAGAGAATTCCGAATGAATTTGTAACAAGATTTGGTAAAGAACTTGGTAATGTTGCTGAAATTACTGTGCCAGATGGTTCTGTTTGGGAAATGAAACTTGAGAAACGGAACGAAAACATTTTCTTAAGCACCAGATGGCAAGAGTTTGCAAAATACTATTCGATAGAATATGGTTGCTACCTGTCTTTCAAATATGAAGGGGATTCAAAGTTTAGTGTTGTTATATTTGATGCAACTTCTGTTGAGATATGCTATCCACTCAAAACTTCGTGTACTAATGAAGAACAAAACATAAAGTGTCCTTGTGCTAGGAAAATGTCTGAGGTTGAAACAAATGACAATCATGTCAAAAGCATGTCTAAACATGCTTCCGAAAGAGTTGATGTTGCTGCCAATGAATTCAACCCAGAAAACCCTTTTTTTCGATCAAAAGTCTATAAAGGAAGATATCCGGTGACGATTTTACTATGTAGTTTCTGGTTTAAAGTAAATGTTTGAGTTATATATATATATATATATATATATATATATATATATATATATATATATATATATATATATATATATATATATATATATATATATATATATATATATATATATATATATATATATATATATATATATATATATATATATATATATATATATATATATAGTTCCACTGAAATTGATCTGTCATTCATTGTGCAGTACGCTCCTTCTCATTTTGCTAAAAAGTATTTGAAGTCAGATGTTCCTATCAAACTCCAAAATGCTGATGGTAAGCAATGGGAAGTTTGCTGTGCATTCAATCTTCCGAAATTGCCGGGGGCAATGCGAATAGTGAAGGGATATTTTGTATTTCATACAGACAACAATCTGTCAGAGGGGGATCATTGTGTGTTTGAGCTGATCAAGGAGACGCCGGTTGTGCTAAAAGTCACAATATTTCGCGTGGTTGACTATGCCGATTAACAACTTCTGTATGCTCTTCACCGTGATGAATGAGGCATGAGATGCTGCATGCTACATGTTGTTTGGTATTTGATAGTTTAAATGGATTGCACCAACTTGTAATAGGCACTTAATGTATTCTTCTGTGTTTGATTGCTGTAATAGTATTTTAGCTTTTTGGATCATGAAGCATTAAGTTTATGTTGGACTAGTAGTATTTTCAAAATTAGATGACAGTTAGAAATTCTCATTTTTTGGGAATATGAATCAACAAATTTCAATGGATTAATGGATGTTGTAGTTATTATTATGATTATTGGTTGTCAAAAATCCAAAACCAAAAGAACAAAAATTAATATTACTATTTACTATACATATGAATCAAAAATAAAATAGAAGTTTACAGTAGTAGACTTTCACTAGTTGAATTCTACTTTGTCTCAAAGGCAATAAAATCATGTTCTTACTCTATTATATTTCATGATTATAAAAAATATAATAAAATTCATCTTCCAATTGGGCCATATGAACTCTATTCTTTAATCTGGTGAGATAGATAATGTAACAAATCATGTATTAATGATGATTAAACTACTGAATTTGAGCTATTTCCACTAAAATCTTGTGAAGAGATTGTGGCTTGGAGAAGAATGGACAATGATCACTGCCTTTGATTTTGAAGACTCCTTCAGGTGGATTTTCCCCGACAAGCTTCTCTTGGACATCGGGTGAAAGAGCACGGTCATCCAATGTTTGAATGTAAAAACGGCGGGCAGTACCGTATTTGTCAGGAGATAAACACAGCTTCTCCATGATTGGACCAATAGGACTTTGTCTCATCGAAACCATGGCTAATGCAACATCCTGTAACACAACGGATTTCAAATTTTACGAAATCATCAGATACTTGTATAATTAGAATCCATAAAATTAACAATGCAACAAGAATTTTCAGGTAATGATAGCTCCCCCCACACACTGATACATCTACAAAGGGGCATGTTCTGCCGGCTTTATCCATCACTGGAATGGGAACTTAATATATATAAATTTCTAAACAGCCAAAAGAGAAGCATACACCTTTCCAACTATCTACCCAGCAGTCTTATCAAATATCCGCCATGGCGGATATACATGGTGGGTTTTGGACATGCCGCAGTAGTAATATCGACTGACATGCAGGTCTTTCCGCTATAACGGCGCCGCAAAGCAGTCGGTATGGCGGGATTTTGGCTCTCCGCCATTAACAACACTGCTACACAATTAGAAATCTAGTTGTGCGTAACCAGCTAAAAATCTAGAAAGAAAAAAAGTTAGAAATAGACTCTCATGTCGTACATACCTTTGCTGGGGATTGATTAAAATACAAGCCTTTCATCTGATCTTTCTCAAACATAAATCCTGTTGGAGACTTTTCTTTACCATTACCATGGATCAGAAACTTTGATTCTTGCATAAACTGTTCAGCAGATCCTAGCTGCAGTATAGATTATTGCACACGAATTAAGAAATAATAATTAACTTTGTATGAGAAAGAGAAATCGTAACTAACTTGAAAATAGAGAAACAAATAACAAATGGTATAGTAGGAAAAGAGACACTAATGTTTCATTGATAGTATAAAACGATATGCATAAATTTGTGATGATAGATGAAGAAATTACCCCAATTAGTTGAGGTTGCACAGCCAATAAGTAAATGAAAGTACTAGATACCTGATCAGCGAAAACATCAAACGGTCTTTGACCATCGGTCACCATTGTAGCACAGAGGAAAATCGCTTTTGAGATCTTGTGTGGATAATGTTCCAATGCATAAGAAATGCAAGCACCACCAATGCTATGACCAACAAGAACAACCTGCAAATTTTCAATTTTCATGAAATAATTACATAACAGAATGTAGGACAATAACTGCTTTAATTTCAATGTCGTGTGTCTGAACCTTTTCGTCCTCGGGAAGGTTTTCAAGATAAACAGTTAATGGTTTTGAATATTCTGCCAATGTAGTGACATTGTTGCTGTCTGTGAGATCAATTCCAGATCCTGTAAGATCTAAGGCAACAGGCTGCAATCCTACTTCTTCTAAAAGCGCAACAGTCTTGTACCAACACCACGCTCCAAAACCTTCTCCATGGATCAATACAAACTTCTTTGTTTTAATGTTCACCAGAAGTTCTGGATCCTGGACAGAACATAGCAGCAGGTTAATAATGCATAATCGAAAAGATAGATTAAAACAGTACTGTTATACCCTATAACTTATAAATAATTTCGATTGAGAAATCTATTGTGCAAACACAAGATTGTGAAGAGCATATATGTATTGAACAGTCAAAGTCAAATCATTTTCATTCTAGGTCCAAGCAAACATTTGCATCCAGCTACCAAGAAAATGATGCATAAACTCAAACAACATTTCAAAGAGCCTCAAAAGAAGGAAAAAGTTAGCATGTGTTTGGTTCTACAGTGTCAAAAATTGACTACGATTGAAATAATTTAGTAAAATCGATTTTAGTTAAAATGTTAAGTGTAACGTAAAATGATTTATGTTTGAATATGTTCATGTGAAAGTGACGAAGAATAAATTTTACAGACAAAATTTATATTTCCTAGCTATAAGTTATCATCAGTTCTAATCATGGACCCCAAACATACACTTGAGAAATGTGGTTGAACCTACCTCAGTCCTACAAAACCGGTTTGTAGGGTGAGGATTGTCCAACCTTATAACCTCGTGTTTATGTCATATATTGTCCGATGTGGTCTTAACACATACTGTAATCAATTTAAAGTATTCAAAACCACCATGTTGTATAAGAATAGATGGTGATTGAGTTAAAGAAAAGTAGCCATGTTGAACAAAATGGGAGTCCAAACCCTTAGATAGTTGAGTATAGATAGAGTCTAAAAAGAATAAGAGAAGCGTGTTCCCTATAGTGCCTAAGAAAAATAGTAAAAAGTATTTAGTGGAGTCAACACACATGATCCTCTTTCACAAGTCAGGGAAGTGGGGTATGTAAGTATGTATTGTAAAGTGAACAAAATACATGCAAATAATCATAAACTAATTTCAAAAACACAGTGAATTGGTCTCTTTTACCTTTTTGAGCTTATAAAAAAAATAAAAAGTAACCCTTGATTTGTTTTCAAACTAGACACTTTTCAGACACATGTTAGATCTTAAACAAATCATGAGAAGCCACTTTCTAGAACAGATGAAATGATTCAAAAAAGAGCATATCAGGATTCAGAACCTGTTTGTTGGTGTTGTTGAGTTGTACAGAATCAGGTAAATTGCGTCTTCTAGAGCTAGTTGAACCAATTCTCCTAGACATGGAGCCTTCGAACCTCTGAGACAACTGATGCTGTTGAAGTGCCATGGATAATGCTTGAAGATGCAAATCTTCTTCAGTAACAAGCTTCCGCTGTGATCTACCGATTCTCTTGCTTCTTGATCCAACCTCTTTGGAATCCTTTTTGGACATACAAATAAAACGATTACCCATATTTTTCTTGTGAGAAGAAAGAATGAAATTGAAGATGAATGAATCGGTTGAAGAATTGATTGTGTGTTTTGTTTGGTTTTGGAGGTTTCCGAGTCGTGAGTTGTTGGAAATAAATAAATGCAAAAATTTAAATAAAAAAATAAAAATAAAAATGATAGTAGCAGTGTGTGAGAAAGGAACAAGAATAGGTTATATTAAATGTTTCTTTCTCTTTGAGTTTCAATTTCAATTTCAACCATATCATACTTCTACTTCTTCATCATTTCATTATTTCAACGCTTTTATTCTATTTTTCTATGGAAAAAGTGCAACAGCGTGTAAATTTTTTTTCTACTATAAATTAACGATGACCGTGCATTCTGTTAAATTATGTAAATTATTATATAATATAGTAGAATAATATATTTTTATTGTTCGTAATATATAATAATTAAATTTTATTTATTTATTTATTGAAATACTAGTATTTTATTTTTCAATTTATGTTATTATAATGAATGAATGGTTGCATTGCATGGTAAGGGAAAAAGTGGTAGGTGAGTGGATAGAAGAACTTGTCCTGAAAATAAGCGGATTTTGTGTAAGCGGTTTTCAACGTGCATTGAGGGACAACACATGTCATTGTTCATCCATTGCTAACATTTTGCTTTTTCAAAAGGTCAATTTTTTCTTTTACTAGGTTAGACTAGACAACATGCACTAATTTCTTTAATTACCGCATGTAAAATTTTTAACATATGTTTAATTTCATTTGGCAAAGAGTATATGATCAATGTTACATCTAGTCATATATAAATGAGAAGTCATTAAGCACACCTTTTTTCTCTTGTTAATTTTTTTAATCTCAAACATGCCTCTTAATGCTTTAGTTTATTATCATAAGAATAAGAAGTCAACGAGCATTTGCTTAAATGTTGATTGAAATTTTAAAAATTTGAAGTCACGCCTAAACTTTTGGTTTAACCATTTGGAGGATGGGTCCATAAAGGTAATGGAAATAGAATTCCATTATTCGCTCATAAACACTAAAAGATGAGATTTCATATGTGATAATTGCTAAAATTATTTAAAATACACAATTATTTATTAATTTAATTCACAAGTGATTAATAAAAAAAACTCATCAAGTTATCATTAAAATGAGATAAAATATTTGTATGAACTTTTTTATTGTGTATTAACAAAGTACACGCAAAAGACGAAGAAAATATTAAAACAATGATCAAAGATCTCTCCAAACAAGAATAAAGCATTTTTTAGGAGATATTTCTGCTAAGCAAAGACATGGTCGCGCTAAGCGAGCAACGTCAACACGAGATTTCTTCAATGGAAAGTTACTTCAAAAGTTAAGCAAGAAACTCGCTAAGCAAATGGCAACTTGGCTAAACGAGGAATGAAGGCTCAATGTTTTTTGACTAAGTTACTTCAGAGTGAGGAAGAGTAGAGGTGTTCGTTGGTTCGGGCAAATATGAACTAAACCAGAATTGAAACAAACCATAGTGTTTGTGTCAGGCATTTTTTAGTTTGGGCGAGAACCGAACCAGACTAATAAAACCTAATGTTAATTGGTTCGGACAACGAATTTTTAAAATTCTACCCTCGAGTCTGTCTACCAGAAGCAACCATATTATTTCGTATACTTTATATAATCATTATCATGAAAACTAGTATAAAATATTCAACTTCAAGAAGAAGAAAAATGAAATATCATTTGTGACTTTCACAACCTACATGGAGAAACGAAAAAATTAAGAATTTTATATTATTTTGGAAATTCAGTTGATGTAAAATAAATATTTTTTGAAAATATTTTTGCACATTTGTTTCTAATGTATATGATCAATCCAACCAAAGTCAACATGTTATTTCTCGGTTTGATTCAGTTTGGATTTTATCCAAAAAAATGGAAATCTAATCCAAACTAATTCATATATTTTTTTTATTAATTTGGGTATCAGGTTCTTTCAAAACCGAATCAAACCGGCTCGTGAACACCCTAAGGAAGGGTTTGCTCGCTAAGGGATAATTGTTGTTTCTTTTAGATTTGCTGCATTTTGTAAAACAACAATTTGGAGTAGTATCCAAGATTGATCAGCTGCTTCAAGCTGGTTTTCTGGTCCAGAAGGGACACATGCTTGACGCGATATCACAACATGTAGGTATGACATCTGGAAATTGCTCAACAAGTCAAATTGCTGCATTTTTTTTGAAGATTTTATGATTAAGATTCAATTGGATTTTATTGCTTTTAGTTAACAATATAATTATATGATTTGTTAGGCAGTTGTTAATACCAAATCATATTTAAATGTGATTTAAATTTGAATTTTAATCAAACCAAATCATATATTTTTGTTGAAGATATTTATGGGACAGATATTATCCAACTAACTGTGCAAAGATTCTAGACGAAATTAAAGCAAATATCCAAAGAGAAAAACCCAGAATACTTTTGCTATATAAGGAGCTCAAAATATACATTAAAAAGCAAGCAATACATTAAAGATATTAGAGTGTTAGGGTTTAGAACTCTTATTATTATTGTATGCACACCACTATGTTTCAGTAACTTGGCATAGTTGGTTTGTCTTAGTTAAGTTGTAATATTCAACATTTATTATTGGATTAAACACCAATCATCGGGGTTTAGTTATCGAGAGAAAGTGATAGAGGTTCTCATATTTAGGGGGGATCTTAAATAGAAAGTTATTGGGTAGTGATAAGAAGAGGCATTAAACATCATAGGGCTTGTTGTTGCTTGTAAGACAAAATGTACTAAACTACTAATAATGAATTTTCTTTCTTGGGTTGAAAGTCAATCCTCCTGACGTATGTGTTGTTGCATCGAACTAGGTTACCAATTATTATGCTCTTTATTACTTTTCTACTCTATCATCTTGTACAATTGAATATGTATTAATTGTGGTGATTTTGGTATTAATTGTGGTAATTCTGGTATTACTTTTTTGCCCCTGAGGAACATAATGTCAATAATGGGTGGCTCGCTAAGCGCGAGGCATGGTAGCAAAGCCCACTTGAATATGAGTTAGCATGACATAAGGGAGATGAAACACAAGCTCGTTAGCCAGGCCACAAACCTCGTCAAGCAAAGAGGTCTCAATAGAAATCTATGTGCTTGGCAACGACTTTTTGTGGTTTTTTGGTAGCGACTTTGGTAAAGTTATTTTTTGTGGATCTATGTGCTTGCATGTAGGATGTCACTAGTGATCCATTTGGTTTTTATGTTGACAATATTCTAAAGAGAAGTCTTCATCATAAGTGATGTTTAGGGCTTGTTGGTTCAAATGATGTCCATCAAAGATGTCATTTGATGTGATGATCAAGTGGTGGTGCTTGAAGATCTAGATGCCATCTTATTAAGATGATCAAGTTGTGGTGATCAGTATATCACAACTCAAATTTGTGATCAAACTCTAATCAATTGGCACCACAACACATACCCTAGCCTATTTGGTGAGCTTCAGAGAGGATAAATTATGCTAAAATGGATACAATGAAAGACAGAGGATTAGTCAACAAACCACCAGTATTGGATGACACCAATTATGACTATTGGAAGTCCATAATGGTTTCTTTTCTCAAATCCATGGGCAACAAAGCATGGAAAGTCGTGATAAAAGGGTGGAAACATCTAATGGTTACTTCTGAAGATGTAACTACTAGCTTGAAACCAGAAGCTGAATGGACTAATGCTGAAGACGATGAAGCTCTTAGAAACTCCAAGGCTTTGAATGACATCTTCAATGGTGTTGACTAGAACACGTTCAGATTGATTAACACATCTTCATGATATCCTAAAAATATCATGAACAGAAGAAGAACAATACCCTACCCTTTCTTCCCCTTTTGACATCATCAAAAAGAAGAAAAATAGAATAACCAAAGGAATATAATGGCGAGATGATCATCATTATTTTTACTATTCTAATTAGCTTTCTTTCCATGTTTTTTGTATGTTTTATTTGCATTTTACTCCTGAAAATTGTACTTTTCACTATGTTTCAAATAAAGGGCAATTGTCAGTTGATGAAAAGAGAAGAAATATTACAAGAGGATTGAGACTAATGAGGTAACTTCAACTTTGACAAATTTGCATACAACTTCTTCTATTTCAATACTTGTAACACAATCAGCAAATGCTTAGCATATTATTTTTCTAACTTATAATAGATTAAAATATCATCAATAAAAACCACCACAATTTGACCCAGATAAATATGAAATATATGACTCATATATTCCATAAACACTCTTGGTGCATTAGACACCCGAACGGCATCACAAAGTATTCATAGTGTTCATACCAAGTTCTAAAAGTTGTTTTCTGAATATCCTCGCCTTTAACCCGACCTCAAGTCATTTTTACTGAAAACACGCGCACCTACCAATTGATCCATCAAATCATCTATTCTAGGAAGTGGATACTTGTTCTTGATTGTTACTTTATTCAACTGTAGGTAATTCACACACAATCTCATACTACCATCTTTCTTCTTTACTAAAACCATCAGAGCTCCCCAAGGCGACACACTTGGTCTCACAAATTTCTTCTTCATCAACTCCTCTAATTGTTTATTCAACTCTGCTAACTCTGACGCTGATATCTTGTATGGTGACATAGAAGTAGATCTGGTACTAGGGATAAGATCAATAGAAAACTCCATCTCTTTCTCTAGCAGTACATATGAAATATCATCCGGAAACACATCTGAAAAATCATGCACTACCTACAACTCATCAATTATAAATTTATTCTTAACAAATACTGAAGCGAACAACGTAAGCACCTGAGCTTCCTCTTGCAAAAGCTCTTTCATCTTTCTAGCAAATAAGAAACCAAGTTATTCCTCATCATCAAGAGCAAGAAACCGCACTGATTTGTTATAACGGTTAATATGAACATGATTGAACTCCAACCAGTTCATTCCCAATATCACATCAAGATCCCTCGATGATAAGCAAATAAAATCAACACCAAAATCCATATCATATATTGATGAAGGACAGTTCAAACAAACCAAATAAGTAGTCACCGATCCTTTAGCAGGAGTATTGACAAACATCTCTCCCTTCATGGAAGACACTACAAGACCTAGCCTTTTCACATAATTAGCAGCAATAAAAGAATGAATAGCACCAGTATTAATAATAGCAATCAAATGAGTATTATTAATGTAACATATACCTCTGATCAACCTGCCATCACCAAAAGTCATGGTTCACCACAGTTATAGAAAGTCACTACATTATCTTTGCAATCAACAATCAGATGTCATGTCTTCTCACATCAGAAACACTTCTTCATATCACTCTTGCATTCACTGACACAATGATCCAACTCACCACACCTAAGGCACTTAAGAGGAGCAGAAGCACCTGCCCAACTTAGCCTCTTACCATCAACAATCCTCTGTTTACCTTTCTCAGCTGGAGCACTATAAGGCTTCCCATGATTCAGATTCTACTTCCCTCTCTTCTCGCTCAGACTCTTATAATGAGCTGATCGAACCTTACTATCATCCTTATAAATCCTATAGTTGTTCACCAACTCCATAAATCTTCGTATCTATTAATACCCAATCGTCTACTTAATCTCAGGACGCAAACTATTATCAAACTTGATACACTTTAAGAACTCATCAGTTGCCTCACTATAATTAGGATAAAACTTTGCAAGTTCCACAAATCTGGCAGCATACTCAGTTCTGTTTCACGAATTTTTCATGAGAGAAACTTCAACTCTCACTTTGAGACGACACCATCTCGAAATTTACATAGGTGAAATTCATATTGTATCTTTTTCCACGAGACACATATCCTCGGTATTGAACTTCATTAAGAGTTTAAATAAAACTGAACCCTCATTTTAAAGGTCAATATTATCACGAAATATTCGATAAACATCCAAATTAACGACTTGTTGTTACCCATTGAATCTTGAGGTTAATGTTCTACTAACGTAAGATTGGGTTGTTGTCGCTGTCGGAACTCTTACTCAAGGAGTTTCAACCCTATACCTCTCGAGGTTGTTTTTACTAAGTTTCTGGCTAGTGGCTTAATAAATGGATCAAGAAAATTATAGCTCAATCGTATATATGTGAATGATTACATCCTTAAACAATTTTCTCACGAAAGAATGTCTAATTTCTACTTGCCTAGACTTTTTGTTATACACTATTTGTATGCTTTAATTAAAGTGGTTTGACTACCGCAATGTATCAACACCTTTGAAACATTGTCTTTAGTCAATGGAGCTTCCAACAAAAGGTCCCTCAACCATTCGACTTCTTCACTAGCGGAAGCAAGAGCCTCAAACTCCGATTCAATGGTTGAGAGAGTGATCCAAATTTATTTCTTGCTCTTCCAAGAAATTACACCTTCTGCTAGTGTAAATATCCATCCAAAAGCATATTATTGATATTCAACACTCGATATCCAACTCGAATCGACATATCTTCTAATATGGCAGGAAATCTACCATAATGAAGACCAAGATTTTTGGTCTTCATAAGATATCTGAAATTTTATAATGATGGTCTTCTAGTGTTTCACCATTTGAATTGCTAGTAAAATCTACTCATTTTACTAATTGCAAATGTTATGTCGGCTCAAGTACATTTCATGCACTTGCATATTTCAATAAAGTCACAATTATTTCATCATTCTTTTGAAGTTTGACACTAGGATCAAATGGAGTGGTCACTTCCTTAAAGCGCAAGTGTTTGAACATCCACTTGCAAATGATAATATTTCAACAATTAAAATAATTTTTTTTCTGTATATTGTAGTACCGTTAAAATTTGACAAAACATCACATTAATCTAATAAAGTGTACCTGTTCATGCGCACCTCTTGATGTAAGTGGCCATTTTTTTCCTTACTGTTTGAAAAAAACTTTATTCAAAATTCTTTGAAAAATCAAACCAAAGAAATTTTGTTATGCCTAATTAGTAATCATAATGTTAGATAAAACTTTTTAACAATAACATATAGACTTTATATTAACTTTGTTACTGCTATGATAATGCTTTGTATTAGTTCGAGATAGAGAACATATGTTAAAAAAAGAAAAAAAATTGTTTCTTCATATTATCATAAATAAATAAATAAATAATAAGAATTTGTATCATATCTGTTAGTACTTAGTAGTAGATACAACAAAAAGGCCACAAAGCATTTGGGAGTACACTGTAACTCAAGTATTATGTAACACTGCTTCAAAATTCTCAATATAATATATGAAACAGAAATGCTTGTCCTACAAAAGACAAAAATCATATAAATAAAAAACTTATAACAAATAAATAAGTTTAACCTGGGAAGAAAGCAACACATAATCAAGTGTTAATATAGGATACAAGACATAATATATTTTTGAAGGCAAGTGGGAGGAAAATCATCTTGTCATGCTGTTGCGGTGAAATTTGGATGTCAAGCTATTGATTAACTTGAATCTTAATTCATTTATAACCGGTCTTTGATTTATCCGAAGGAAAGGTTAAAGAAAGGAAAAACCTAAAAGGGAGAGATCTAAGGTTCGGGGGTTGGTTAAATTTAGGGAAGGTATTAGCACCCTAAACTTCCGTAGTACTCTACGGGAACCTTTTGTTTATTTATTTTTATTTATTTTATTAATTATTTTGCTTTAGGGTATATACAAAGGATTGAAAATTAAAAAAGACCTAGGGGTTAATTCTAAGTTTACTCGGCAAGACATCGCATTTTGTGCCTACATATCCTTACGGGAATGGAATCAGAGTAACTGTAGTTCCCCTCAAAAGGGAGGTTAGAGACTTCTTGACTGTGGTCAAGGTCTCAAGGGGAATAAACGCATCTTAAGGACACGCTTACGTGGAGTGTAGAAACTCCAAATATCTACGTTGAATTGTTAAGTGAATTAGGGTTAGGTTAGGGATTCCGCGGCGGGAAACCCTAAAATGAGCGCGGCGGCTCTTTGACCTAATGCTAGGGGTAAAATTGTAATTTGGCCTGCGGCTAGGCATTTGTGAAAATTAGGGTTTGTAGTTTGTAGTTTTGAGGATTTGAAATTGAATGTGTGGAGTTTTACGGACTATTGGCGCGGCGGCCAAACAGTTTAACCTTTCCTTCGGATAAATCAAAGACCGGTTGTAAATGAATTAAGATTCAAGTTAATCAATAGCTTGACATCCAAATTTCACCGCAACACATGCCAACAAGTAAATTTTGTTATATCGAAAAAGGTCTAACTTTACAAAATTTTGGTTCATCACTTTATGCTTGAAACGAAAACCTCAGTTGCAATTATTTGTCATACTTTTAAGATTGTTAGAAAATTAATTTAAACTGAATGAATCGAGGCTAGAATCGTGAACGAAATCACTTTCCTTAAAAGTATTTCAAGCACTCTCTTGTATGTCTTAGAGTTGGAATGCAAGAATATCCCGTATAATTCAGCCTCATATCGAATTTGCGTAATACCGACGAAAACTCAATTATAATGGGAAGAGTGTTTGGAATTTTGTACAAGAGAATAGTTGGTTTGTGATGTGTTTTTCTGAATTCTGGAATGATGTATTTATAGGCCATGTGTGTGTTGTTTCACAAGGTTGCGACCATTGATGAAACAACACCTTTTAACTAAAAATTGTATTGTTTTCAAACATTATCTATGTCCATTCTGTAGCAACATTTCACGAAATGTTGCTTCTCTTCGAATTCAAAAATTAATATTCACTTAAATATTTTCTTGTCATTTTAAAGCACACTCAATATTATTATTATTGTTAATAATTTATAACATTCTTACGTGGCTATGGTAGATTATATAAAATCTATTATTTATAAAGAGTGACATCTTGTATTTGTTCACATTTTATGCAAAGGGAACGGTAGTGTTGATGGACTTGTTAGTTTGTGAGTCTTACTTATGAGTGTTTGCGATTTGACCCTCTCCTTTAGTTAATACTTCATCTGTTTCAAAATGACTGTTGTTTAAGGTTTTTGCACATAGATTAAAGAATGCAATGATATTGTCATAAGATATAACACTTTTACTAAATTAGTCTTATTAATGTGTTGGAAATAGTGTACAGAGTAATAATTATATGACACAATTGAAACAATAGAAATTATTATTGCATTGAAAAGTGAGAGTAACATCTATTTTGAAACAAATTTTTTTCTCTAAAACGACAATCATTTTGAAACGAAGAGAGTATCTGTTTAGCCGACTCTATAAGAATTCAATTTTCAAAAACATAATATTATCCTTTTTTATAAAATACAATTCACTTTTTAGATTCATTAAATAATCAATGTATTTAGCCCGTTTATAAATTAGATACATTAATTATTTAATAAATATAAAAAATAAGTTATTTTTTATAAAAAGAAAGAATGGGTATTATTTGTTTATTTTTTTTCATTAATAAAAAAATATAATTTTTAATAAATTAGCGATATTGTATTTTTATTTATTTAGAATAAAACTTGATTCTAATTATTAGTCCTAAAAGAAATACTAGTTTTGTTTTGACATGGTAAGGTGAAGAAAAGAAAACCCTCGGAATTTAAAAACGTTTTCTCTGTGTGAGTATATCCATTGAGAAGAGCGCAGCCAGGAGAGAGAACAAAACCCTTTCCTTTTCTACTATTTCTAAGGTTTACAAGATAACAATACTACTAACAAATTTCACTTTCTTCTTCTTCTTCTTAGACCCACCGGAACGCTAAAATTGCCGTTGCGAATTTGTAGTTGTAGTTACACGTAACCACAAATGCTTCGGCTTAGAACAAGTAACCATTAATAATGCAGAAACTGCTTCAGCGTCCAACCTGTTCACTCCCAATCCCTATTCTATCTTCTTCTTCTTCTTCTTCTTCTTCTTCTCTCGTTATTTCTCCTTCAAACCTTCCTCTATTTCTTCATCTTCCAACACCAACAATGTCTACCGTAGCAACAACAACGACACCGTTATCCGGTACAATTTCATTCCCAAACAATAATAACACTATCCTTCTCAAACATTCTTCTCGTTATTCCTATCTCCGTACATCCTTCTCTCCAACTCTAACCCTAACCCCCACCAAAACCCTTCCATGGCTTCTTCTTAACCGCTCTCTAAATTCAAATTCATCTTTACACCATTCATCCTCTCCTCAACATGACCAGGGTACAACAGGGGAAGGGGATTCTTCTTCTTCTTCCTCCTCCTCTACCACTGCCTTCAAACATAATAGGAGGCAAAAGGTTTCTTCTTCTCCATCATCATCTAATCCTGATTTGTTGGCTATTCCCGGTGTGGGTCCCAGAAATTTCAAAAAACTCGTTCAGAAAGGTATCCAAGGTGTCGCCCAACTCAAACAACTCTACAAAGATAAGGTTTTTATTTTTACTATACTATCTTCTGTTTTAGGGTTTTTCAAATTTTACCTCTTTTCACTCTATGCTGTTTAGGCTCTGTAACTTACTCATTCTATCAATCACACTACTGCTTAATATCTTCAAACACCTTGTTTACTCTAATGTCAATGTTATGTCTTGTTCATCTTCTGTTTTCAAGGGGATAAGATTGACAATATTATCATCAAGTTTTGACTATTTTTGTTGCGTGCAGTTCTTCGGCAAATCTAGTGACCAGATGGTGGAGTATCTACAGAGTTCTGTTGGAATTATCCACAAGAACCATGCTGAAAGTATAACTACTTTCATTAAGAAGAGTGTCGATGAAGAAATTGATGATAATTCCTCTGGGAAGCAATCTTCGCAGAAGAAGCGACTTACGTTCTGTGTCGAGGGTAATATCAGTGTTGGCAAGACTACTTTTCTTCAGAGAATAGCCAATGAAACTATTGAACTGAGGGATCTCGTCGAGGTGGTACCTGAACCCATTGGTAAGTGGCAGGATGTTGGACCTGAGCACTTCAATATCCTCGATGCTTTTTATGCTGAGCCAGAGAGGTATGCATACACCTTTCAGAACTACGTTTTTGTTACTAGGGTGATGCAAGAAAGAGAATCTTCTGCTGGAATCAAGCCTCTTCGATTGATGGAGAGGAGTGTTTTCAGTGACAGGATGGTCAGTATTTTCATCTCATCCCTCGAATCTTGAGAGGGTGGTTTGCTGTTTTTTCTCTTGTCAATACAATTTTTTTTCCTTTGTCAAATATCTTTTCAGTTAGAAAATTATGGAATTTCATGGATTTAAAACTGAGAAGCTTTTCCCTTTTCCTGTTTCGTGGGATTTGATATTTACACGAAGAGTCTTGTTTTGAGAGTTTATTAATGGCTTAAATGTTTTATCATCCCACTGGTCAATACAGGTTTTTGTACGAGCTGTTCATGAAGCCAAGTGGATGAATGAGATGGAGATCAGTATTTATGATTCTTGGTTTGATCCTGTTGTGTCTACCTTGCCTGGCCTCATTCCTGATGGTTTTATTTATCTCAGAGCAAGTCCTGATACTTGCCATCAAAGAATGAAGTCAAGGAAGAGAGAAGAAGAAGGTGGAGTCAGCCTAGAATATCTACGCGACCTCCATGAAAAACATGAGAGCTGGTTATTCCCCTCCCAAAGTGGTAATCATGGAGTATTATCTATCAATAAGCTGCCCCGTCATGTCGACAACTCTTTACACCCTGATATAAGAGACCGTGTATTTTATCTTGAGGGTGACCACATGCATTCTAGCATTCAGAAGGTGGCCATGTTTGGAATTCCTATGTCTGATTTTATGATTTATTTTTTTTAATTTTCGTTATAGTCTGGCTTAATCACTTTAATTACGAGCAGGTTCCTGCATTGATTCTGGACTGTGAACCCAATATTGATTTCACCAAGGATATTGAAGCCAAGAGGGAGTAAGATAACTATCTCTTACTCAGATTTGTTTAAATTTCTGTAACATTGACTCAACTTATGTTTCATCTGATGCTTGTTTGCGTGTTAGAATGATATGATTCTTGTCCTCCTTGGAGTTTTATTATTATGTTTGTTGTTGAGCTGGGCTTTTACTGGTCTGAGTCGTAAGTTCCAAGTGTGAAGTATGGAACTTGAATCCCACACCTTAAGTAAGGAGGCTCAATATGGAGCTCTCCTTCCACAATGGGTAGCTTTTGTGGTGTGTTTCTCCCAAGGTTTGTTTCAATTGGTCTTAGTAACTTCCATTGTATCTCTCAGTAAGTAAGGCCAATACATGCAGTTTTTCTTCATGTGACTAGTTAAGAGACTAGACTATTGTACAGGTAGCCTGTGTGAGTTCTGGGGAGTGTGTAACCCCAGTGGGATCAGGTGTTTATATTGGTCCTTTGTCTTGGATGCTGTTGTGCTAATTTTATTCTATTTGTGAGTGATGTTTTGTCTAGAATATACTAAACTACTAGTCCATGATTTCCTAATATGCTGTACTGCTTTTCGATGTTGCCTGTGGTGCAGATATGCACGCCAAGTTGCAAAGTTTTTTGAATTTGTCAAGAAACAGCAAGTTCTATCTGAAGCTGTTGCAGGGGGTAAAAATAGCCAGGGCCATCCACAGGTGCTGCTGCCTCATGAAGGTGACCTGTGGCTACCAGGTGGAAAGCCTTTCCACCAAACACCCTTGGACTTCAGACGGGCAATGTCAATTATGTCTGGTAGTGGCTGACAACAATGCAATTGGAATCAAGATACACGAATAGTCATTAGTTTATGTGTTGACGCTTTTTTTTTGCATGTAAAAAGATTTGAACTAGGATCTTGACTGATGTAAAGTTGGTAGTTATTTATGGTTGTCAAATGCTTTGGTAGTTTCTACTAATTTACTAGACTACCTGGTTTTTGTTATATCTGTTGAGTTACAAAGTTGCTCTTTCTACTAATATGTCCTTGTTGATAAGGGTGTTCATTGGGGCTGGTTTGTTTTGATTATGTACAATTACAAGAGCAAGTTTTTGTCATATTTTCGAATTCCAATATTTCTTCATTTACTTCTATAACACATACTACACATAAAGTTATAATGTATTATTGTTATTCAAATAATGTCTTACAATTAAATTGGAGTTAACAACAAAACCGAGAATAATATACTCCAATTCCAAATGATTAAAAAGATTACACGCTACCACAGTTTCAACTTTTTTATTGTACAAAATTATAAATAGTAAAATGCCTCATCCAATGGTTTCTACAATGACTAGTTATTGTACAATACAAAAATAATATTTCTAAACTATTTCTGCACATGACTTGAGGAAAATGAATCATCTGAACAGCTGCCAGTCCTTCAAAATTGAATCTTCATAATCAAGTGGAAGTCTGTCTTGGGTTACAACAATCTCATGTACAAAGAATTATAATTCCACACCTAACTAACTATTACTAATAAATCAGAAAATAAAGAAGAAATTGAAGCCTTAGTTTATGGCTTTTCTTCAAGTTTGAATCGAACTTAATGATATATATATATATTTATATAAATTACATCTATTGAACAATTTGATTTCCTAAAGACAATTAATTCTTTTACAGTTATAATATCATATTTTTCCCAATGTTAGCATTTTCATAATTGGGTTCTACCTGTTTACACATGCAATCTGGCATGGGAAAAGTATATAGGGATTCACCAGTCTTTTTTACTTCGGTTCCCCTTTGATCACTATGGCTAAGCATGTCTTTCATTTGTTGCTTAAATACTTTCCATCTGCAAACAAACATTGCAATCGCATCCATCAGAAACTTAATTATTTTCTCCCTTCCCTTTTATGTTTTACAGCTTTTTCTTCCCGGGTTTCAGGGGAATAGATTTCTGAAAGATACATTTACTAGTGATGAGATGATAAACGGATGTTCTAATCAGCCTAAGGATAAAAATAACCAGATACATCAAATGCAACTATACCATGTTCTTTCTAAAGAAAAAAGAGGGATGTTCAATTACGAAGAACATCACTAAAACAAAGACTTTGGGTATTGTAATATAACGACCGAACAAGTCCGCCTAATCTCTTCCCATCTATAGAAACTACCATGAAGAAAAATCAATCATGAAATTTCAAAAATTAGTAGGATGGTTAATGTATACCACACACGCACAAGCACACGCATCCTTTGTCATCTACACAAATATTTTAATGTCTGGTGCAAGATACAACTTCAATAATAAACGCTAACCAGTAAAGATAGTCAAAGCTGTGTACCTTACATCAGGGTTATCGAATAATACAACCAATTTTCTCTTTTCGGGTTTAATTGTCTTTGCATGCCCACCGTACATATATCTCCTGTGACCCATCAAGAAGTGAGGAAAATTTCCACCCTGAGTTGTAACAAATGCTTCACTATGGAGGCAAATAGTATAATCAAGAGCAGCCAACCTAGATGAGTGGCGCTGCATCATAAACACGCGTGTCACAAATTCCTTTCTCCTGGAACTCCCTTACAGAATAACATGGATTGTTCTTGTGTTAAATATGCATAAATAACTTCTCCAATACCTTAAATTGAGCAAGCTCTTCTGGCGTTGCCAGGGTATATTTTGTTAGTAATCGTGGAAACATCTGTATAAGTGGCGCCATGTACTTTTGTTCTTTATAAATTTTTCCTGCAGCAACGTATACGAAAGTGGTATTATCGAATCCCATGCCTCTAAGCATCATTCCTACCTGCAGCATCAAATAAAATGAGCTGTAGAATCAGATTATGCCATTCTTCAAAAGAATGTATTATCCTTCCAATTTATCATTTGAATATTTCTCAAGCTCAATTTTTTATAAAGATATTCATGAAACCCTTTCATTGAAATTTATGATTGCTATACATCATATGAGATTTCAAATTGGATCTTTGGGAAGCCAAATTAACAAGGAATAAAAAGTGGGGAAACAAACTTTGATTCAAATAGTTGTGTCCTACTGAGTTTATGTCTATTGTCCCAGTTGCAGATAGCAAAAGCTTCTTTGAAAAGAAAAACAGAACATTTAATTCAGATTCTATTTGCAAATACGAAGGAGAGAAGAAACCCAATAAAGGAAGGTATTTTTTTAAGTGCATACCTCTAATGGAGTCAAAGGACATCTACCCTCCACCCGATGTACACCAGGCTTTATCATCCTATGCTTTCTTCTGAATTTACCTCGCCAACTCCTTTCACGAGCAATATCCATTTCATGTTTCTCCTCTGCCCCACCGTCATACACACAACATGAAAATGCAACCATATCCTTCACACACGGAAATAGTATTATAATATATAATTGATGCAGAGCTGACCAAAAACACAAGGAACTCATGTGAAAATTGAAAATAGCATATTCATATCATATATTAGACTTGTAGTCTACTCCCATCAAATAATCAAACACTTCGAATTATTTTTTTTAGATATAACTTAAAATCATTAAATTATTACAACTGAGAATAACCTAAATTATCCCAAATTATTCTTATTCAATCTCCTCTGGATTTACTCTAATCTGGAGAGGTAACATCTTGATCTATTCCATGAGGTTCAAAAGGTATAGCTGATTATGGCGGAAAAACCCGCACTATCGGCCGATATTTACCATTGCAGCAAGCCCAAAAATCGCCATGTAAATCCGCCATAGCGGCCATGGCGCCGCAATTTGATAACACTGGTTGTATGAATTCATGGTACACATAAACTGCTGCTTTGCTCAATTCGGTGCAAACTGGCAGAGAAAAGGCTTCCCGCCCAACTCTGAAATTAAAGTGCTTGCCCAACTTGTAGAGCTAACTAGTTACTGAATATAAATTGATGTAGAACAATGGAACCTAAGCATATCCAGAAAATAAAATTTGAGAATAGTCTAATTAACATTAAATTGTGTATTTGTATGTTATAATCATATAGTGGGCATCTAGTCAATCTCCAATAACTTATACTAAAGCTAAAATAAAATGATTTATCCAGTATATACAAAAAGGTAAAACCCCTTTATTATCATAAGCAAAATTAACATTATCTTGAATTTTGCATATCCGTTCTGCATAATAAATAATGTATCTAGTAAATCGAACAACATAAGTTCAAAGATATTTTATAATACCTCCTCAAAACGAAGGTGCACTGAAACATATTTCCCACCACTTTGGGAACTATGTTTAATCATCCGATCAACCATGGCTTCTGCAAGGGTTCTAATAGGTTCAGAAAATCTAAGAGCTTCATAATTGGCAAAGCACCTTAGCCCTTGGATTTTCGAGGGTACTGACGGAGCTAATCTATTGGAGAAAGGTGCAATACGAACAGCACTGTAACAAGCATGAACAAAGTCCTCTTAGAAGCCAAAAACAAAACATTGGCAAGGATATACTTGTAAGAGAAAAATAGTAATACTGATAAAAATGTAAAACTACATCAAGGATCCTTTATCATAATTTTGTGTCAGTGTAGTTGTTAGAGTTCTGTTGAAAGAACACAAGTAGAAAGGGAGCTTATTCGTCCGTAATAGTTTTATAGATTGAGAAAAAGAACATGCATAGAGGAAGATACTGCCCTAACACTAGAAATGTTCCAATCAAAGCTAAAATGTTCAAAGATACCTCTAAGATAGAACGGGTAGCCTTATATATTGACCACTAGCTAACAGCCAAAACAACTAACTAACTGGCAAGAATAACTACTAACATAACTAACTGAAAAAAATGAAGTATGGTACAGCATTGTTGACATTTTTAAACATAAAGGACTAACTTGACATGAAAAAAAGATAAAGGACTATATTGATAAAAAAAATAAGATAAGAGACCCCTTGCATAGTTTTGCCAAATAAAAAACATAATGAAGGACCGGGGCAGATTCAATAGGATGACCATATCTACAGCACCAAGGGATTAGGGTGTGGTATTTTTTGTAACATGCATCTTTTGGCTCAATTCAATTCCAAATTTGTGAGAATTAGAATCTCAATTTTTACGTTTGGGAGAAAAAGATGATTGAAATAAGAATTTCCATCAACAACTGGAATAAGATACTATAAATTTATCAATATATCAATAATATACAAATCAATTAAATTAAATATACTAAATAATACATTAAAAAATATTGGATAGAGCATGGTTGTCAAATTTGTCTTCCGTAGTTGAAGACTCCTTGTTCCATGAGTTATAACTAATCTAATTCAAAGTGTTGTGTATTCAGGTGCAATAGTATAAGTGCATGAAGTGATTATATACACAGAAACTTCATTAAAAGTTTCCGTGTATAACTCAATGTAGATATTAAAATTACTTCCATACTATTTATAAAACGTGTTTGGCATACCATTTTACATTTTCAGCAATTGGACAATTTGTAATTGCTACTGAGGCTAATTGAACTTTGTTAAAAGGAGAATAAACTTTAAAAATACTGCTGAAACTACTTTCAGACCAGAAGAACTGGAAACAAACAGTGAGGGGGGAACAAAAGAAGAGAGAAAGGAGCGCACCTCATTTCCAAAAGATGAGGAAGAACCTTCTTAAGATAGTAAGCTGGACTGGACCAGGCTTTTACTCTGAGATTGACAATGTTACTTACGTTATTGCCAAATCGTTCAAGTACGTCAACTGGAAGTTCTCTTACCACATGCACATGTTTCTCGAGTGACTGTATGAAGAAATTTTCATCGAAAATGTCACCGAAGTGGCTGCAAGATG